TTAATGGTTAGGCCTACTATGCCTCCTCCCATTCAAATGATCGAACGGCTTGTGTATTTTGTAATAATTATAGTCTCTGTTTATGCTTCATTTCCGAGTCTTCGTCTATGAAACCTATTAAGTAAGATAAATTAATTAATGGATGACACATAAAGATTAGATTTAATACATTTGTAACTCAATATTTTATGCATTTTTTTAATTTGTCAAAAATAATGTGTGGACCATTACAAAGTATTGTAAAGTTATTCAATATTACAACGTGTTGTCATATAATTTTTCTTTTTAGTAATTTAGGCATTTAATATATAATAAACATTAAGTATGTGTCATTTCATACTCATACTATCTAAGTGCAATTGTGCAATAGTAAAATTCATAGAAATTATAAATATATATAGATCATCATAACTAAGTACACATTTTTTAGCAAAATAATACATATTTTTAGATAATAAACATATTTTTAGCAAATTTAATATATAATAAACATTACGAATGTGTCATTTCATACACATTTTTTGTGTCATCTCACTATTGCTTGAACCGCACTTTTCAGAACATAATATATTATTTCATTACTATTTTTATGTTCTTTCTTATTTGTTTTGTATGTTTTTCATGAAAATTGTGATATTAGATTATCGATTATCGGTATGTATTCATAATTTTTTGTTATCTTGTTAATAAATTATTTTTTAATTTTTTTGTGATCCATAACTTGTTTATGTATGTAAGATTCACATATTGTTTTATTGTGTTTTATTTTCTCTAATAACAACTTTATTTGAAAAAAATTATATATTAATTAGTTTTTATTGTAGATCTTTTTTTAGATTGAACAATTTAATTAATTGGTGTTTTTATGTTTAAATGAGAACAAAGTCAAGTTTGAGAGTAGAAAATGTGTTTGATTTATTTGTATTTGTGAAAAAGAGAGATGCTTATTATACTTTTTTATTAAAGTGTTAAGTATTTTTTTGTGTTTTAATAAATGTGTATGTGTGAGATGCACTGCACTTTTAGACCTAAATTCTAAATTTTATTTTGTTAACTTAATTTTTTAGAATTTTTTTTTGTGAAGCTAAATTATAATTAGTTTTAATTTTTAATTTATACTTAATTATTAAACTTTAAAATTTAGGGTCTCTTTTATGTGTGGAGCTTATTTTATTAAAGTGTTAACCATTTTTTTTGTCCTTTAATAAATGTGTATATATGATATGGACTGTACTTTTAGACCTAAATTCTAACTTTTATTTTATTGACTTAATATTTTAGAAATTTTTTTGTTAAACTAAATTATAATTAATTTTAATTTTTAATTTATACTTAAAATTTATTAAAATTTAGAGTCTCTTTTATGTGCGGCGCTTAAAGCCCATACTTTTTCGGCTCTCCTGAATCCTGATGAGCCGGCCATAGACATATACCAATGATATAGACTCAATGCTTACGTGGTAGTGTCCTAAACTCTTGCTAAAACCTGTCAAAACTAGAAAATCTAACCTTAATATAATTAGGAATTCTTAACTACAGATTGTTCATAAATGCCAACAAACAGATCATTCTTTTTCAATTTACATAGATAGAATAACAGTTTCAAATCATTTATATCATGATAATTGAGTTTGAATTTACCCATTCCATTTACTTCGCAAATGAGTCTACCAGATTCAACCGTTCACCACTGGCACTGGTTAAGTTTAAGGTCAAACCATAACGTTGTGTCGTCATTCTATCAAATTTGCTGGTCTGGCGAAAGATACTTTCTTTCCTTCATAGGAAAACTGTAACACTGTAAGCTTCAGCTTTGGGCCGCAATCACGAGTTGCCTTGAAATTCCTACTGCTAGTTGGAAGCCCATTAGAATAAACTGATGGATAAGTAGCATAACCCTTTAGAGGATCATTTAGGCCCAACCCAATTGGTAATCTATTTAGTGCCTTTTTAGATTAGATGGGCCAACCCAGTTCATTGGATAATCACGACTTTATATTATGTTCGGATCAAGTTATTTTAAGTTCATATTATTTTTGAGTCCATATAGTATTTATATAATCATATCTATGGTGAATAAAAAACTGCACGATCCCACCCCTCTCTCAATCAAATCTAAGTACAAATATGTCATTCAAAAATTAAAAATATACATATATACTAGTAGAATCAGATAAAAAACTATTTAAAAGTTCACAACAATTCAAGAAAAACAAATAAAAAAATTAAGAGATTATATATTTTTGTTGTAGAACATCAGTTAATTTATCATGATAAACTGGACAATTCATATGTGATATAAATCTAATCCATTTGTTATTTGCGTTAATCGGTAAGATGTTTTGTTATGTTACGTTCGAGCCTTATAGCATGTCACATAGAAAATTGTCACCCCAGTCGGCTTGGTTTAGTTGGTCGCTCTCTCTTGTGTCTAGATTCTCCGAATCGAGACACCAAGAAGACAATTTTAGGAGTAAAAAAAAATCTAAAGTTAATTAATTAGAGATGAGGAGCCCAAAATTAATTGGGTCAGGTTCAATAAATTAATCAAGCCCAAGCCAGCTAAAAGACAATCCAAGTCCATTCTATCAATCCGATCCAGTTCAAGATCCAAGGAGCTCAGAAAGATAAGAGCACGTGAGAGAGAGATTATCGGGATATATACTCCTGAAGATCAATCCTACCTTAATTGTATTTACAAAATAAGTAATGTCCTCTTACTCACGTCACTGCCTCATCAAACCTATATATTGTAAGGTTTCTTCGCGTAGAGAGATATCTCATTCAACACTTATCTACATCTCACCACATAGAGCTTCACTCTTAGTTATTGTATCTCCCATGGAGCATACCCTTCCAAAGCTTTCTCTCTCTATAACTTTATTCATTAATAATGACTTATGGTCATCGTTGTCGTTTCTTGATAGTAGAGTAGGTCACCCGGACCGAACCACTATATATTTGTGTATCAACTTCATATTTATTATTTTGTCATTGATTGTCTTATTTATTGTTTATTAATTACACATCTTCACATACTCAACTATTGATCTTACACGAGACCAATTTATACATCATCAAAAGAGATTATATTGAACACCCTTTTTCCCACTTCCGTCCAACTCTTTTTACCATATGCAATACAATAAAAATATGGCTTAAACAATCTCAAGAACAATAGTGGGTGTCAATTTTCCGTCCAAAAACAAGTGGGTGGGCGTGTCAATTTCATAAACTTAGGTCCACCAGGTGCATATTTACACCAAGGTTCTAGGCAATATATGGTCATATCAGCAACCAAGTCAAGAATTAGGCCAAGAGCAATTTGAACACGTTTGAAATTCCATTTTGATATGATGAATGTTAATTGAATACCATTTTGCTGGCTTCATTTGTCGATTTTATTAATCATTGTCATTAATTTAATTATAAGTCCTAATATTATTGAGACTTACTGCTTATTTAATAATTATAATCAATAAAATTAATAAATAATGTCAATTTTTTTTAAGTACAAATACCATTTCTTGTGGTCGGAGGTCCAAATTGGAACTTTAAAGAATGTGGTCTTCCTTTTCAAAAAGACGAAAAAAGAATGTGGTCTTGTAATTACTTCCCCCCATGGGTGGGGTAATTTGATACACGAATAATCTATTGCATGTGTTAAATGCATATGTCATGTGTTGTGTCATGTCGAGTGGATGTACCGGGAATAACTCAGTGTTCGAATTTATGATGTAATATAAGCGAAAAGTGATAAATTTAAACACAAAAATTTAATGTAAATAATTTTAAGACAGATTTTAGTGGCCATTTGATAAGTCTATTTTAAATCGTTTGAAAATTATTGAAACTTGTCATATTTTATATTATAGATAAATGTATTTTTTTATACTAAAAATACATATATAGATAAGTCATTTCACACAACTCCAAATAAATATTACTATTATTTAACACTACACAAATGGATTTGACAATGTTACCGTGAAAAAAAATTTGGTACCACACCTCTAAAATTTATTACTTCAAATAGTACTTTTATAATTTTTGTGGGTTATTTTATAACTAAAAAATTTATCACGTATGTGAATATTTTCACCACTATTGTAGGTATTTTTATTACATTTATGGTAACTATTTTTATCACTTTTATTAAGTATAACAAAATTTATCACTTTTGTAGGTGATTTACTACATTTGTATGTATTTTTATTACATTTTTAGATATTTTTATCATTATTGTGTTAACTATTTTTTTATTACCACAATAGTTATAAAAGTTACAACAAATGTGATAAATTTTGGTAAGGTACCGAAATTTTGAATATTATTAACGTAGTCAACTTTCTACACAGATAATTGAGAGAGATCTCATTATAACTTATGTCAGGTTGAAGCTAAGGTCCACCGTATGTTCTGGGTGTTGACGAAGAAGTTTAATTCCATTGAATTATTATAGATATAGAGACTTGAATTCAAATATTGAGCCAAAAAATTTAAATTTTTATTCCCTAGATCAATCATTTGGTGGTATGTCACATTCAATATCAAATCTAAATGTCACATAAAATTAATTTTCATTATTGATGATCAAATTTATTAAAAAATAAGTTTCATCGATCGCGAAGAACTCAAAGGTAAACTAATGTTTAACAAATTGCTGGTGGATTTCCGCTTAACTCAAAAAACATTTTTTTAACTTTATATAATGTTGCACATCAACATGTAAAATATTACATAATGGATTCGATTTCAAATTATATGTAATAATATCAATTCTTCCCCGACTAAACCAATTTACGTTCGGATCAAATTTTGAGCATGAACATATAATTTTAAAAAAAAAAGTCTAAATCAGTTGAACTTTTAATTTGGTTCAAAAATTGGATCGGTATAATATTACAGGTACAACAAATTATACACACGAGGTCGGTGGAACGCCCACAAATCTATCGGAACGAGAGAGAGAGACGTGTAGCCGTGGAGGCCTTCTATAAATGCCGAGTTATAAGTCCGTGTATGCATGGTCCTTTTTCGTAGTTGTCTGTGGTTCACACGGTCCATTGCAGAGAAAGGGTAAGGGGTATATCCTTGAACCCCTTATCTTGCACGGGGTTTCCCTTGAATTGGAATTTCTGCAGTTATTGCTCACAATGGCTTGCAAACTTGCACATTCTAGTTTCCTTTTTATGGTAACATTCATTCCCCTCTCTCTCTCAGCTCGGTTATCTCAGTGTAGTTTACGCGTGTTGTATGTGCTGTTTGATTTTCAGGGACCACAGCAAAGGCCAATTATGAACAATAGAGTGGCCACACTTAGTTCTCCAGGTATGCATCTCTACCTTTCTCTCTCTTAAGATTGGCTTGGTGGTTCAAATTGGAATGTGGATTCTCTTTATTTGGTCCTATTGTTCACATTCTCAACTTTCAGATAGAATGTAACTGTGGAATGGCAATTAAATGTTGCTTGTGTCAGAAGGTCTGGTTTTGGTTTTGGTTGATATTTGGTATGAATATGTATTTTTAGTTGGCTTTACATAGAATTAGAACGCACTTGATAGCAAAAGCAAACACCAACATCAAGACTTGGGTTTCGTTGTGATTCTCCAAGATCTGAGTCTTGATATCAAGGAACTTAGTTGTAGCATAAATTTGAACTTTCTGATGGTCTAAAGTGTAAAACAAAGGGGGACTTCAGTGTTGCATATGGAATGTTGATTGCTACAGAATGCAATAATTAAGACTATGAGCTGGTAACCTAATACAAAAGGAAATAATAAAATCTGTTTTGCAATAAATTTTGTCCACATCACAAAATAGTTTAAAATTAAACAGAAAAACTTGGGAACACAAAATGCTATGTGGGCTTTAATGTTATATGGTCCAGTTCGAAAGCCTAGGTCTACGGATGAATAACCTTGGCCGGCAAATGTACACTATAAACTATGGACAGTATAGAGTTTTTGAAACAGAGGTAAAAAACAGTGGGGGGGGGGGGGGGGGATTTCACCCTGTCACTAACTGACAACATATATATGACAAAAAAACCTAGTTTCCGGATTGGGTCAGTTTTCGGAAATTTGTTTCCTATCAGCACAATTCTCCACTATCTGGGTTAAGGTTCATCAAATATCCCAGCTAAAAGCCAAAATGCCCAGTTGGTGTGATCAAAGTACAATACAGAAACAATATTTTAATTATTCACTTTTCAAGATTGAATTTAGAGTTTTGATCAACACCAAGTGATTGCATTGAAACATTCTCATCTTATCCCTGAGAAGGAAAAATGTTGCTGCTTCCGGAAACATTTTATTGTTGGTCCTTAACTTTTTGCGTGGATGGCCGCAAACATTTTTATTGTTGAAGACGGTGTTCTCATTTTCACTATACTTCATACATTGATGGAAGCTTTACAGTGCACATCATTTCTCTTTTTAGACTAATTATCGCATGTCTAACTACAGTGCAGCATAGTTCTTTTTACATATCAAGCTTTGGAAATTGCTCTATTTTATGGGCTACATACACCTAATTATGGGTGAGCCTATAACTGCCTACATCATTATAGAATATGCCTGAAGCTTTAGTTTTTTTATACAGACATTGCATACGGTTTGGTCATTAAGTCATATGGGTACCCTCTGATGCTTACTATGATAGACAGGCACTTATTTTCTGAAGTGGGAAAGTCTGCCGCAGGAGAGAATCCAACTCCAAAAGTGTTCAAAATCCTTGAGAAATCCTATGATTGTACAAGCTGTGGCAATTCCAGTTGCACCATCTCCACCCAGCAGTGCGGAACATAGGAAACAAATAACGGAAAGCTATGGTTTTAGGCAAATTGGAGAACCACTTCCAAATAATGTTACACTGAAGGATATTGTTGACACCCTCCCAAAAAAGGTAGTTGTCAGAAGCACTGAATTCATGCACTCAAATGTTATGGGACTACTTTATCGAGCTTATTTTATGATTTCATAATGGTTCTCCATAGACAGTCAGAAAAGATATATACCACCACGACCAAGAATTTAAATACAGCTTGTATTGAACTCTGAGTGTCTATTATACAAATCCCACATGTTGATTTGATATATAACTGTGAACAATAGCTGCAGTGTCAAATTAGGCAGTGACTGCCTTGAACAGTTTACCAATTTTTTGCCTAAGTAGAGCTTGATGCTGACTTTACCGTGCTTTTTTTTCCTTTCAACTAACTTTTCCTGGCTAGTGAGACTGTATAAATTGGCAAAAAGACTAGGCATAATATCTTCTCAAATTAATGCTTGAATCTGATGAGTCTTCAATAATGCATACTGTAAAGACTTTTCATGGTACAATCTGCTGGACTAAAAGGTGTTTCCCTCATGCTATCCTTTTTATAATTTGTTAGCTTCAAATTTGTTCTGTACAAAACAACAGAAAATGCCCGGGAAGAGGATATCTGACTTTCACTGTGTGACTATGGTTATGCAAATCTCTTCAAGCAAAATTCAAGCTCTTATGTTTTAAATATTGTCTTAAGGTTTTTGAGATTGATGATATGAAAGCATGGAAGTCAGTTCTGATATCTGTCACTTCATATGCACTGGGCCTCTTCATGATCTCCAAAGCGCCGTGGTATCTTCTTCCTCTGGCTTGGGCATGGACTGGGACTGCAAGCACGGGGGTTAGTTGTGTCATTCTTGTTTTTATGATTTATTGCTTTCCTATACCCTTGAATTTCCCTTTTTTTCACAAGCTTTACACCTAGCCATCTCTTTTCATTTGGTGTATTTTTCTTTTTCCCCAATGGTTTAGTTTTTTGTCATAGGCCATGATTGTGCACACAAATCATTCGCGAGGAACAAATTTGTGGAAGACATTGTTGGGACTCTGGCATTTTTGCCATTGATATATCCCTATGAGCCGTGGCGTTTTAAGCATGATCGGCATCACGCAAGAACAAACATGTATGTGTCATATTCCTCTTTGTTTGGTATGAGATTCTGCTATGATTTTTTATATATCACGGTTGATTATTGACCATTATCTTCAAAGATTTGGTGTTAGACAATATGTATGAAATTTACTTCGGATATCATATGAATTTGTACATATACATAGAGGAAATAAAAAATATTACATAAGAGTATATCTTTTTGTTTCCGTATCCATGCCCGGCTTTTTAAAGATTTTTTGTACTATCATGTCCATGATTCCATGTTACAAGTTTGTGTCTGTGCTTCTTAGTATAGTGGAATATAATACGTGTGTTGACCGTAATCTTTTAAGGAAAACAAGACTGTTGAATGAGTTCTTATCCGTGATTTCTCATTTTGGAAATTTCATATGTTGGGTGGTGTATAAAAAGTACCAATTTTTTAACAAGGAAATAAGTAAGTCAATCACACTTACGGTTAATGAGGCCTAATGGGAAGTTAATAATTGTTCTCATACTTCCAAGGAATTGGTCGATTCCCTTTGAATATTTTCCTCAAGAGTGTTAGTTTCTCATTATCCTAATTCCAGGTTGAATGAAGATACAGCCTGGCACCCAGTTTGGAAAGAGGAGTTTGAGTCATCCCCAGTTCTGCGAAAGGCAATTATATATGGATATGGCCCTTTTCGACCTTGGATGTCTATAGCTCACTGGTATTATTCAATGAACGTTTTTTTTTGCTTTTTTGATACATAACAATCATTAGTAGTATATGTACCTGTCCTAATGTTGTTAACCATCATATTAGGTTGATGTGGCATTTTGATTTGAAGAAGTTCAGACCTAATGAAGTTAAAAGAGTGAAGATAAGCCTGGCTTGTGTATTTGCATTTATGGCAATTGGATGGCCTCTAATTGTCTTCAAGACAGGGATAATGGGATGGATTAAGTTCTGGCTAATGCCGTGGTTGGGTTATCACTTTTGGGTAATACAAATTTCTCATCTCTTGGTATTTTATATGCAGTAGGAACATACATCTCTGCAGTTTACTTGTTCTGTATTCAGAAATGCAAGTTAGTAATCAAGTGGACTATTGAAAGCACTTTCTGGCTACTGTATACCAAAACCGAAACTGCCAACCTCTTTTGATAGCTGGGTAAGTGGTTGAACCAATTCAATTGCATGCTCAACGGGCTGCCTGCCCAGTCTTTAGAAATAGTAAAATGGTATGAGTTGCAACTTAACGTCAAGATCTGATTCGCACCATGATCTAGGCTTCACAGTGGTTTATCAAAAGACAGGAGTTCGATCCCTTCTTCCTGTACGCTTCCATGTGTGTTTGTTCACATATGCACCAAAGGCTAGTTTACCAGTTTGACTGACGAGTCTGGAACCAGTTGTGACTTGTGATAATTAAAAAAGGTAGCCCAAGCACGAGGCACCTGCCCTGCCATTCTGGGTCTGGAGAAGGTCAAAGATGTGTGCAGCCTTACCCTCCCATGCAAGAGAGACCGGTCCCGCGACTTGAACCTTGACACCCCGGTCATAGTTGATCAATCTTACCGCTACCCCAAAAGCTCACCCTTACCAGTTGTGATAACTATGCTTGTTATTATTGTCAATCTCTTGCATGATACTTGTTTCTCTAAATTAGCATCTTTTTTTTGTGGTGTGAACTGAGTACTGTCAATTGATTTATAGCTTAATTGTTCAACTCAGGAATTTGTGGTTCATTAACTGTAGAGTTTTGGTTTGCCAAATTTGCAGATGAGTACTTTCACAATGGTTCATCATACAGCGCCGCACATACCTTTTAAGCATTCGGACGATTGGAATGCTGCTCAGGCCCAGCTTAATGGCACAGTTCATTGTGACTATCCTAGTTGGTAATGAAACTCTTTTACTTAAATTGGCTCCTTCCTGTTTCCCTGGGTCCTTAAATTGTCAATTAAATTGGATGCATTAAATGAGTTGAAGTAGGGAGTATATTAGTTTTGATGAATGAACGGGAGGGAGAAGAACATTGTACTCAAAGGTGCTTTCTCATTGGTTTCAACTTGTCTGGTTATGTCTCTGTGATGGTTGTTAGTCTTTGGGCTCAGCTATGACAGAACTGGACATAATAGACTTAGGAACATGTTTCCGTTATTTGTAAGGTTTCCATTATTTGTATTCAAATCTACAGATTGCTAATGTCTTCCCTTAGCTCTTAAAATTTTGTTAGTGACTAATAATATAGTCGGCTCCCATCTATACACTCTCTGCTAATGAGAAAAGGGAGACTATAACTGGATAAGAAAAGCTAGAACAGTGCAACAACGTATTCACAAAAAGTGATTCTACCGGTGGTATTCAAATCATATTTATTTAGTTTGAGAATGGATTATATTGGCTGTCAGGCATCATTCTATGTTAGTGCTTCTATTGTAGAAATCAATTAGTATTCTCCCCAAAAAATTAGTTTGTTGAATGTCCTCTTTTTCTCCTGGACAGGATAGAGATCCTCTGTCATGATATCAATGTCCACATCCCTCATCATATTTCACCAAGGATACCAAGCTATAATTTGAGGGCTGCTCATAAGTCTCTTCAAGAGAATTGGGGAAAGGTATGATTATATCAGTAATTGTTCTATGTTCTGTGCCATACCGCGGTATCTCATGGTAGTGGGTGCATGGTTACACAAGTGAAGTAAAATTTTTTCATTTGCTGCGTTTGAATGCAGAAGTCCATCCTTAAAAATAGTCACTAAACCCATATGGGGGTTGGATCAGTAATTGAACAAGGGGAGTCCCACTAGCCTGATAAGGCCCAGGTTTAATTAATACACGTGATTTCTGGGTCATCCAAGGTTGTGTTACAGCCATGAATACTAAGGCTGTGCGGTGGGAACGAGTCCCCATTATGAAAAATAAGTAGTAGTGAACCACCCCTTCACCCGATAAAAGTGTCATAAAGAAAAATCAACGCTCAAAAGATAACTAAAAAATGTATTCACTTCATTATGTCCAAATCCGTCTTTGGATGCTAACTAACTTGCTCTTTCTTTCCTTTGATTTCCCATGCTACCAACAGTATCTGAACGAGGCTGCATGGAATTGGAGATTGATGAAGACAATATTGACAATATGCCATGTTTATGATAAGGAGGAAAACTACATAGCCTTTGACAAACTTGCCCCTGGAGATTCCCAACCGATTAATTTCCTTAAAAAAGTGATGCCTGATTATGCTTAATGCATTGCTGCTCTTCAAGGGGTCCACTTCATTTTTGGTGTGTTCTTGTCTGTTATTCTTCTTGTAGTCCAATGGGGTATGCTTTCCGCAATGTCTTAACATGTTCTTAATTGTATTCAAACTACACAAATATCTAGGTGGTTTATTGGAATTTCATTGAAGGAAAAGCTTCCTGGTAGTCCCCAACCTTGCTTCTAGTGGGTCTGGCTTTTCAAGGAAACCCCCACTTTTTTTTTCTACAGAGTGTTCAAGCTTGTATCAATTATTCCTTCGAATTTTGAGTCGGTCACCGTAATTCGAGCTAATTTAACGACATGCCCTCTAAGGAATAAGAGTGACTAGTCATTAGGGAGTGTGAAAAATATCAAATTTGATACTTTTTGCTTGCAATAGGGCCCTCAATTTTTTTGTTCTAATGTGAGGCGTTTCAGTTTTTCTTAGTTTTCTTTAGTTATTTCGCTCAATTTTCTTAGATCTTTCATTTTGTATTGGTAAATAAAAAATTCACTCAACATAGTGGGTTCAGTTTAAATTTTTGGATTGACTATTACAAACGACACTTTAAAAATGATAGTGTGTATTGAGTTGAACTTCAGGACTAAAAATAATATTAAACCCAAAATATAAAGGTGAGAGAGCCTTAAACCTTACTTTTGACAATCGGGGGAATTTGGAAACTGGTATAAAAATTTAGATTTAATTGAGTTAAATTATATTAAGGAAATTTATTTAGGTCTAAGTACATTTTTTTTAAAAATACTAAAAGATCGTTTATTACTCAATTACTCTCTCTTCCCTATTTTTTCTCTATGTATCTCTTTCTCGTTGATAATTTTTTTTTTCTAATATGTAAATATTTGATTTAATTTTTTCATCTATCTCCCCTATTTTTTTTTCTCTCTTTTCCCCTATTTTCTCTCACCGTTACTCTTTCTCTCTCTCCTATATCAACATTACAACAATACAATTATATTAATCAGTAACGTAATTAGTTATAATTACTCTATAATACACCAAACAGTTACTCATGTATTCTAATAAATCAAATATTTACACTAAATAATTACACAAAATTACAACACTAACTCAATTTATAATTCAATTGTTTATATAAACCAAAGAGTTATACTATTTAGTATCATGACATGGTCACACCAATTATACATATCAAATTGGGTTTATTATTACACAAAAGACTTTACCATTATACTAAATTTGATGTATGTAATTGGTGTAACAATGTCGTGATACTAAATGATGCAACTCTTTGATTTTATATAAACAACTGAATGACAAATTAGGTTGATGTCATAATTTTGTATAATTATTTGATGTAACTATTTGGTTTATTATAACACACAAGTAACTGTTAGGTGTATTATAGGATAATTGTAACTGATTGGTGTAACTAATTAGTGTAATTGTGTTATTGTAACGTTGATATAATGAAAGAGACAAAATAAAGAGAGAGTAATGGGGAGAGAAAATAAGGGAGAGAGAGATAAAAAATTAAATCAAATCTTTATATATTTGAAAAAATATATTATCAATTGGAGATAGAGAGAGAGAAAATAAGGGAGAGATAGAGAGAGTAACAGAGAGAGATGGATAGAAAATATGCGAGAGAGAAAGAGATTGAGAGAAAAGGGTAAGTAAAAAAATTTAAATATTATTTGAATTTTGTACCTAATTACAAGATATTTTATTAAAATTAAATTTAATAGTGTAAAATATTTATCCATACGCTTCATTTCAAATAAGTCTAAAAAAATGTACGCACACCATAAAAATTATTTTTAAGTAAAGTGGTGATAGTATGAGTTTAAACGCTTATTAGGCCTAAAAATACCTCCACATATGCACCAAAGATGGCCTTAAGCACTAGTAATAAACGTATAATTTGGGATGAACTTTAGGGCTGTGTTAACGAACAAATTAAACCGAGCCGAATTGAAGCTTGTTCAAGTTGGTTTGATCACTTTCAGGGGTGTTAGAACAAATTAAATCGAGCCGAATATTGTTCATTACGATCTAATTAAACTATGTTCCACCCCAATTTTAGATAGTATACGGAGAAATGGTAATTATGTCATTTTATTTATTTAAAAATTGGATGACATGAGAATATCACCACCACAAATTATATTTGTGGAAGTCATGTAAAAAATAACATATTTGCCTACCATAATAAACTCAAATATTTTTTTAGTTAAAGGTGCAATTTGGGTAGAATTCTAGGGTTGCCTGTTAAAAACAAAAAAATACAAGGGTTGAATTTAAATTTAAAAATATATAATTAGGTTGAGTCCAACCACTAACTACTTAACCCATCCAATCCAACAGAGGTGGACCATTGCCCTTGCTAAATTTGGTTATGAAAATAAACTTCAATTATATGATATTTAATTTTTTTTTTCTTTTTATATCATACTTATCATGATCAATATTCTCCTACATTGATTTGTCCACCCATCAGTCATGATAGTGCAACCAGTCTCTTTTCATGTGGTTTGAAAATTATAAACAAAATTTTTCACTTCTTCAACATTCTTGTTCAACAAATAACCACGCAAGTCATGAAGATTAGGGCCCTTATAACCACCACCAAAATCAGTAATTACATCTATCATAGGCTGATAATTCATGGAATTCACAACATTAAAGAAAATGCAAGCATCCATTATTTATTTAGAAACCGCAAGATCACACCTCTCATCCATTATAGTAGGTTGAGAACCGGTGGTAGTCCTTGGTACAAAGTAAGAGCCAATTATTTTACCTTTTCTTGCTACATCCTTGTTATGTATTGATTTACGATGACCTCCACCAATGGAAATGCCTTTTGCTTTATAAGAGGATGAAATTTCTTGAACATCATCATTTTCTTGCATATATTCTTACTCTGCATAATTTTGAAACTCTAGTGTATATGGATTCATTTCATCATAATGTTGTTGTGTATTTCTTTTCTTGGTGACAGTACTTTCCAGAACCAATCTTATCTCAAAACTAACATTGGGAGGGCATCTAGTACATTATTCTACTTCTCCTTTAATCCCTGCCAAATGTTGCTTGAATCTATTGATACCACCTCCCTTAATTACCTTGTGGCAATACATTCAAATCAAATTCTTTCCTCTTTTTGAAGACACAGAGTCTTCCCGACAATGTGCCCATGCGGGGTCAGTCTTTTCTCTTATTGCAACTTTTGTAGAAGAAGGATTTGGTGTAGCGCTAGTTGGAGTAGAGCTAGTGGGTGTAGATTGAGATTCAATTTAGTGTTCCAGATTAAGACATTCTACTATGACATCGAAAACCAAAAAGCCACAACTCACAAGTAATTAAACCCCACAAGTCACAACACAACACACTAACTTCAAACTTTAAATTATAAACTAACATTCTAAGATACACAAAAAATAGATCAAATCTGATACCAATATGAATTTGAGTAATGTGATACCAATAATAGCACAAACCAAGTAATTTAATCCCAAATTGCAAGTGTATATCTATGACACCTATCAAAAAAATTAAAAAGAAAAAGAAAACATTCAGCAAAATTTGAGAATAAGATAAAAAGTGTAAATAAAATGTCTAAGGTCAATCAATCTAGAATATATATATACATCCTCATTCATGCATATTATGAAGACCTTCCCACAAAGGAATTAGAAAACCAGCAATGGCATATAGTACAACATTAGTGGGATCTCTTTATAATAATGCTATATTTAATTGGTGAAAACCTACAATGACCATATCTACCCATAGTATAGTACTTGTGGTGGGCATTTCCATTTCAAACATACTTTACAGTTCTCTTTCTAGGTATTTCATTTCAATTGCCTTGTTTTATAACTTACAAACTCTCACCACTCAAAGCACGGATGAATCAGTACACAAATCAGAATGCAGTAACAATGTTCACCACCTTTGTGAAATAAGAGTTAAGAACAGTTATTCAATTCAACCAAAAAAATTGAGCATAATCTACCTTCCCATTTGATAACATAACCATACAATAAGGGATAATATATCTCTAATAAAATACGAATTGAAGAAAATTAAGACCAAATTCAAGCACTTTGTGATAATCAAACACACAATTAGATTCACAAAGCAAATATTCAAAGAGTATAAAAATCGCACGCAAAGAAGTCTGTCAAAGGACTCACAGTTAACTCGATGGAGTTGCTGGACTGGAGGAGGGGAGGTGGTGGTCACTAGTTAGTCGCAGCTGATTGCTGCTGCAAGGTGGTGGTCAGTCGATTGGTGCCTTAGTGGTGGCTGTGGACTGTGAAGTGCCGAAGTGAGGGTGGTGGTCAATCGGTGTGCTGTGGCCCTGAACTGTGAAGTGTCGAAGTGGGGGTGGTGGTCGATCAGTGTGATGTGGTTGTGAACTGTAAGTCGAAGTGGGGGTGGTGGTCAGTCGGTGACTGCTGTGGCTGTGAAGTGCCGAAGTATAGTGGAATTGTGGATGGATCGATTTAGATTAGGGCAAATGGGCGACAAATAAAAGAAAGGAGAAAAAAAACAAAAGGCCAAAAGGCAAAAGGGGATCTCAGAGAAAACGTCTAGGTTTTATATACTCGTCCGGTTCTCACGGGTCACCGATTTTTTGACCGGTTTGACAGGTCTAAGCCGGGTTCTATACACAAACAATTTTTTAATATAACCGGCCCGGTTAAGAAATCAGTTCACCGAGTCTCTGGGTTGACCTGTCGGGTTTTAAAACACTGCTTAAATATTCCTACTTCGACCCCGTATTGGGTCTTAAATTGCCGTACTCATAATCCCAATCACAGACGATCTTTGCTCTTAGGACATGTGTTGGTTGGGGGATTTAGCGGTATTATAGGGTGGCATAGTAAAAAATAGTATATGGGGTTCCACCCAGGGGTGAAAGCAGACATGGGCCCCCCTCAATTTTTTTTTATTAGTTAGGTATATATATTATATATTTGTATAATACATTATTTGTGCCCACAACAAACTCAAGATAAAAATGTTAGACTCATATTATTTATTCAAAAGAATTAAAAAATTAAGTCAATTTAAAACAAAAAAATTTGAGCCCACCACTATCTACCAAAACTTATTAAAAAATTAAATGTTTGACCTATCACAATCCACAAAAATCGATTAAAAAAATAAAACTTTTGCCTCAACATTAAAAACAAAACGTTTCCCTCCCCCCTCAACTTTTTTTTTTTTGGCTTCATATTAAACATGTATTTTTTGAAATAAAATTTAGACATATTTAATTGTGTCCACCCTAATATTGTGTTCTGGTGATATTGATTTGAATAGACTCCTACCTAAATGATTATTAATTTTTTGAACAATATTATTGAAACCTAATTTAATGACCTAACATATTGCGATATTAAGTATAATAGTGAGTCTTAATATTTAATAAACTCTATTATCTATCAAATGGTCACAAACCATCGAGTCTTCATCAATTAAATTTCAAATTATGTACAACTAATATAATTGCTAACTTTTAGACATGTCCGAATATGTTTTGAATATATTGATATTATTTTATAATTTTTTTTAAATTGTAGGATTATTTCGTTATTGTATAAAAATCCATGTCGTTATGTAGTAAATTATAGGATCCTAAATGGAAAATTATTATTGCGATTTTATATATAAAAGAGATATTTTTGATAAAATTAATTTGTAACTTTCTCAAATAATAAAAATATACCAGGATCAATTATAAGTAATAATAATTAGTTGCATTTTCGATAAGAAGCTTTAATTATTATTTTTTTGTTCATGTTATATATATCGATTTTTATTTTTTTATGTTTAAAAAGTATTAAATTTAATTTTAATAAATATAAATTTATGAACTTTTTTGGTCTATTAAAAAAAATTAGAACATACTAACGTGCCCACCTTAAATTTTTTTTTGGCTCCGCCCATTGTTCCACCTATTACATTGTTTGGTTGACATTTTATGTGTAGTACCATTTTTTAGATTGTAATATTGATCCGATTTGTACATTGCTCTTTAACCCTTGTACATGGTTTTAATGAATACTGCCTACTAGGTGGTATTATTTTGCTGGTATAAATTCGCTAATGATACAAACAAGGAAAATGACATAAAATACCTTTTTGTGTAGAGTTCACATAAAAAAAATTATTTTGAATTTTTTTCTTGTATTATATTTAAGTGTATGGTGTCACTGATTTTTTTTTTTTAAAATTATTTTAAATTTTTTCTTTATATTATGTTTAAGGGTACGATGTCGCTGGTTTTTTTTTTTTAATCTTTTTTAAGGTGTCACCGATTCATATCATTAAATTTTTTTATGTCAATTTTTTACATTATCCAGAATTTCTCATATATAAATTGTCATACCATGTATTATACCAAATATTGTGCAAAAACGTTACATAATTGGAGTAAGGGAAATGATGATATTAATGGTAAAATTATATATTTGTTATACAAGATGTGATTGAATAAATAGTTGTTTGTGATATTCACTATAGTACCTATTGAACAAACAAATATAAAAAGAGATTGCAATATTTTTTATTGTCGGTAGTAATTTCAATTGATATTAGAAATATAAAGAATATATTTCTTAATACCATAGCAATATTTAAATCAAACATGCCTTTATAATAGTAAAAAAGGGAACTATCTGGTATAACACTTACACACACTAATCGTGTGACACGTATATATGGCAGCGTTTTAGGGTTTATTAAAGCTCTTTTGCTTTGCCTCACTCTCTCTCTCTCTCTCGTTCTCGTTGAAGCGGAAAACTACGAGTGACCGACTCCGTCTCCGTCTCTCTCTCTCTGGCGAAAATATGGAACCCTAAATCCCCAAATTTTGAACCCTTCCTCCACAAATCCGATGCAAGCTCTCACCCGCGGGTGTGACATCTCTCACTTTCAGGTAAGTGTAACTTTCAGGTTTTTCAGTTAGGTTTTAAAGCTTTAGGTTAGTTTAATTTTCAGAAATCTTCCATATAGCTGTGAAAAATGGGGTAGATTTTGATTATGTTTTGTGGGTTGCTTTTATTTGTTTCTTTGCTTGCATGATGATCTGTTTTCTGTGTTTGAGATTTTCTTTGTTTTGCTTTGATTTTTTTTTTTGGGAGAATGTCACAGCTCCACTCCGGAACTCCGCGGTTTCCTAGAAGGCGGACTCGGTACCGGTGTTGTAAGAGTTCGGAGTGGGAGTCGGAGGAAAATATGCACTCCCGCTGCAGTCGGAGTCGGATGTCGGAATTATGCCTTCCGACTCCGAAGCCCACCTCTACTGGCGATAACCCAAAACATCCGTCGAGATCGTGGAGAGAGAAAGCTATAGAAACATATGTTTGTATGCATATGTAGGATATTACCAATTCCAAACAATCATCAAATGGGAAAAAACACAGATGGGTCATCGTTCCATTCGATCTCATATTCAAATGGTTTTTCTTCCTCTCCTTTGTTTCAGGAGAGGATCGAATTTCATTTGGCGAGGAAGCCTTTTAATGGGTTCAGTAATGGCGGTAATGATTTCAAGCTCAAGACTTTGAATCCGATGAGGTTGGTGGAAGCTCACCAGAGTTCAGATGAGTGGAACCCATCTGAGAAGAGGTCTGATGGCCAGAGTCTACGGAGAATGGTTTGGATTTAGAGCTTCGTTCCGGGATTACTTTCAAGAGAATTGTGAGTTTGTTCAGTTGGACAGTCTTACTATTTATTTCTTTCTGTTTATTTCACACTGTTGGGCTCATGTTTCTGGAATATCCGTAGATTATCATATGTAAACGAGTTGGATTGGGTTTCAGTTTTGAGATTACTTTCAGTTGATGTTGTGGAGTTATGGTATTGTTTGGTAAAGTTTTTGAAAGTTTTACTGAGTGCTTGTTTATTTTTTTGTTGTTCTCGTATAGTTTGATATTGGTCTTTTGATATTTGATATATCAGCTAAGGGTCTTCTTTGTTTTGCATGTTTAAAATTTCCATTTATTTGGGTTATTGCTGTTTACACATTAATGTTAATTTGGTCGTTCATATATTCACCTAGTTGGTTCTTGTTAGTATAGGCTCCGTTGTATTATTAAATATATTCATTGATATTTTTTTTTGAAGAATTTACTGAATTGCTGCCTCTTTTATGTTGTTTGATGTTGTCATTTCCTCTTCTGATTTGTGGTTTTCTGTTTCTACTTGTTTCCTATCATTTAATGGGTGCTTTCAAATTTGATTCGATTCTATTTTTTCTAATTAAAGCTCTTGTTAGGTTTCTAAAATTTTAATTTGGCCTAGTATCATTAGTCAACTCCAACGAGTCTGCATATACAAAGTTCTTGCAGATTATTGTAGCTCACATGCTAATATGTTTAGTATTGGACCAATCATAAGTGATAAAAGGATGGAGGCTGATTCTCTCTAGAAATGACTTAGTCTAGATTGGGATGTCTTCACACTGGTTTTGGATGAGGCATCTCAGTAACAGGTCAACGGATGGCTTTCAACCTTTCACAAGTATAGACAAAAAATGCTTTATGTACTTGGATTTCATTGAAACCTCTCTAGCAGGGAATGTCCTCTTCTTTATGACAAAGAACCCTTGGAGTACATGTCTTTTAGACTCTTTGCTATGACACAGACTCTGGCTGCGTGCATTTATCTGTAAACCACACACATTGAGTAAACTAGGGCTCTGGTACAACAATTGAACTTGGAACTGTAGATAGTAACTGATGAAGTCTTCCCATTTGAACTACAGGTTATGGACAGCTCTTTGACACGTCTCACAATGAATTTCTAAGAGGAGAATGATTCCTCCCTTATGCTGGCTTGCGTTAGTTTGTTTGTTATGGTGTGGATTATGTCATTATAATTTTTTTTTGTTTTTGCTTTTTTGGTCTTTTTCCATTTTAGATTTTATCTATTATATGTTTTTCTTGCTTCTGTTCAGATTTTCTATAGTTTGATCTGAATCAACTAAATCAAGCCAACAACAGAGAGTCATGTGACTACATATTAAGGGACTGTGCATGGCAATTGTGGGTCACCGGTCACACCGTGATAATATATTATGTAGTATTACTCTGACTTAGACAGGTTGGGGCCACTTGCACTCCCAAAATATCTATTCTCACCCTATTAAACTGCCTAATATTAGAACTACTGTTCCCACTCCATTAACATAGTCTACACCCTTCCCATTAAGATGTTAACCTCATTCTTCCCCACTTACTGTATACTCCCCAAGTGTGTACTATTCCGCCCCCATTTCTTCCTACGATCCAACCCCAAGGTTTCTTTCTCTCTCTCTCCTTTAGAATTCGATGAACTTAAAACTCACACTGAATCACCTTTTTTGCTTTTAAAAACTGCTATTATATGAAGAAGATTACATGGTATTGGGCTTAGTTTCTGTAAGTTGGAAACTTTACACAGTATAATAGAGTTTTAGTATTCTATACAGACTTGTAAGTTGGTTCTGCCTCATGCAATGAGCCTTAAACCATGCATAGACTCCCTTTTCTGGGACCTGAAATTTTAGAGATGAACTCTTTACGATGCTTTCCATCATATGGCTATAAGCATATGAGCACTTTCACTGGGAAAGAAACTGCTCAGGCAGTTTGCAGGACTCCTTCACTAGGAAAGAAACTCCTCAGACGATGTGGCTACTTAGGGAAAGGAACCCTTGGCCTGAGAAATATGAATATGGACATAATTTACATCTGGGGTGTATATAATATAATGGAATGGGAAAGGCACATTTAATGCATTGATGGGGTTATTTACCCAGGAAAAAATAAATTAATGGGGTGAGTGTAGACTTAGGTGGATTTGATCACTAATGGGTTAGTATAGAATGAAGCGGGAATAGTTGTTCTGATAGTAGCAAATTTAATGGGATGGGGATTTATATTTAGGGTAGGAATGGCATCGCCAAATTAAACATGATTGAAGAATGGAGGTTGATTCTTTTTTTGTTTTGGGTAGTGGTCTAGTGGTGCCCGATGGCATGCATCACTATCAAATATTAGTTCACCCTTCTTTATTTCTTTACCTGATTTCATCTTCTGATGCATTTTTTGTATCTTTCATCATTGCATATGAAGTTTCATCGATAAATGTCAAGTTTTGTTATCCATCGACAAAATGTCAAGTTTTGTCATCCATCGACAAAATGTCAAGTTCTGTCTACGTTTGTTCTTTGAATTGACATGCTACTTTCTTATTTCGTACATTTTGATTTAGATTTAAGGTTTTCCATTTGGATTTTAAATTCTAAATCATTATGGTGATGATCAATCTGGTCATTGTATGAAAAAATTTACGTATAGAGAGGGTGTGTGGGTGGGTGTGCTTATTTTCACTTTTGTGCAGACATTGATGAGTTTCGATCTAGTTTCAAGATGTTTGGTATTAACTATGAGGATGGTTTAAATAATTTACAGGGTGCTGGTTTGGAAAATCTTGGAAATACTTGTTTTCTCAATTCAGTGTTACAATGTCTGACATATACTGAGCCTTTAGCAGCATATTTACACAGCGGGAAGCACCAAACGGCTTGTGAGTCTCTCTCTCTCTCTCTCCCCCCTCTCTTCTTCTTCTCTCTTCTTGCAACCCCATGGTACATGACACCCACCCCTTGCCTACGTGATACCAAAAGTTGCAGTAAAGTGTATTATAGTGGAACTGAAATAAGATAAGAAATACGTGACAGAAGAACCTAAACTCGGAAGATGTGGGATCTAATCTCACAAAAGTTGATAAATTGTCTGTTTGGTGCAGTTATCTTTTATTGAAGTGCTTTCTTACTGGAGCAGCAAGAAAAGTGTAACTCATGAATGAAAGGGGTCGATTGGTCCATTACAAATAGAACTAAAAAGTGTTCGACCTAAAATGGTAAAAGAAGTTCCAAAGTGTTAAACTTGAGCTTTGACCTAAACTGTTGTTGCTCCCAAAGCTTTACCTTAAAAAAATTGATTTCCTAGTGTCGCCAAATAGTCCCTCGGGAAAAGTTTTTGAATTGGAACCCCTTTTCTAAAAAGGGGCCACCGGGCAATGATAAAAATTCTGTTGTACAACTGTGAGGGTTGTAGTTTTAAATATGAAGGCAGCCACTTTGTGTAAATAAAGCCAGACAGTTTGGTCTCCTAGAAACCCCATTTAATAGGCACCAAATTGAGTAATGACCTTTAAATTGCTTTTAGCACATTGCAACTTACCCTCAAATGGTCCCCAGGTATGAGAACTCAATCATAAATTGAACCCAGTCTTTATTGGTGCGATTGGGAATGGGCTGAAGTTCTCTATTGGCTAAGTTTTAGACATGCTATGCACATTTAAAAGTATGAGGCATACCACACAATTGTCCTTCCTCTCCACGAGTTGAAGTAGCTTCTTAATGTGCTATCTCAAATGCCTCTTTTTTAGTGTTCGGCTGTATGATAGTTCAAATTAGACCTCAAATTTGTTCCCAATATGCCTAGTGTGGGCTTTTTGTGTTTGTAGGCAATCCAAGTTTTCAGCTTCCTTTTTGTCGAAATTAAATAAAACATGTATTTCCTTGCAGGCACATATATCTAATACTAGGGGTAACCCGTGCCTGAAGGTACGATGCAATGTGAATAGTTTGAGAGAGATGTTGGTGGCCGTTGGATAATTCTATTTGAAACTGTTGGATGAATTTATTGAAACTAGCCTTGTTTTATATTATAGATTGTCTTAGTTTGGATAATTGAAATATTGAATGAAACTGGTTCTGCTAAAAGGTGCTGTGTTGAGTTGCGGAATCACTTTGATAAGAATTCAGCACGAGCTGAAAAGCTTTGGTAGTCATTGTCATGTTCATGTGTATTTTACATGTCAAAGTGAAAATCATAATTATATAGAGGATGACATTGTTCCTTCCAATGCTTGAATCTCATAAGGAATCATTATACATAATTTGGAGTATGCTGTTATGTTTGCAAGTATGAATTCCATTCTTGTAAACCATCGCAGAAAATTAATTCTTTTTTGAATTATGGGTTACTTTTTCGAAGTATTTGATTGTTAGATTATTAATTATGGGTTATTTGTGCTTTGAACTTCTATAAAGATCATTTGATCGATTTTACTGCTTAAGATGATTCTGGTCTTGGACTAAAGTTTGAGTTTAGAATCCTGCTCGAAAGATAGCTCTTTCAACATGGCTTCCATGGGGATAATTGTCTAACTGTTTCACTATGACTTTCCTCAGGATTGTTGTCTATTGATATTGAATGTCCCAATCTATGCACCCCTAATGTTTAGAATTTGTCACAAGCAAAAAAGCATTTGGTTTTTCAGTACTGTGGAAGGCTGGATAATAATAAGTTCTTTTCATCAACTGCATTGTGATCCAGGGCCTGGTGCAGTTTGGTTGTGGCTATGAGCTCATTTATATGTGGCTTTGTGAAATCCAGTTGTGCTATTGTGGATTAGATTTTACCTATTCTGACAGACAAACTGATCATATTATTTGCTGAGTAAAAAGAACAAACTGTTCATGCTGTGTCTGCAGTTGTCACATCACTACTATGGGGTTGAATCTAGAATAGATTGTAGCTCACGGTGCGTTTGGTAACGTTTTTGTTTTTATGTTTTCAAAAAAAATAAAAACAAAATCAGTTTTTATTTTTTTCTATGGTAAAATGTTGAAACAGAAAACGTTTGGTTGTAGTTTTTGTTTTAGAAAAATTGAAAACTAAAACCCAAAACATGTTTGGTAATCACTTTAATTTCTGTCATATATTTTAGCTTTCTATTTAATTGCCTGCTATAAACACATCAAGGTTCTTGTTTCAACCCATAAAATAAGGTACAAAGCAAAATAATAGAAAATCCCTAAAGGCATTAAACATACTAATATACCCCACTTATAAACATTCTACCTAATAAAATAATACACCATAATCAATTGACTATAATCCCAATAAGTAGTACAAATACCAAGAAAAGTAGTGCACAATACAAGATAAAATTGAAACTACAACAAACAAGTAAGCATAAAAATTGTGATCCATTTCTTCTCTGCCGGCTAACTGGTTTTGTGGGATTACATCTTGTTCATCCTTGAGTGCGTCATACTCATCTACCCAAATGAAACAATCAGCATGGTCGCACCACCGTGGCCAGTGATAAAAAAATTGGCCATTGTTTCTTTTGGTCCTTGCAACCAACACATGCATATTACTGGATCCACATGAGCATATGGAGGACCAATAGGTCCCATTGTAGTACTCATGTTTCAATAACATTAACCACAAAAAATTAGATATAATAATCTTTTCAACATGACATTGCAAGCTAAGCAACATTGTAATACTATTCCAAGGCGGATATATATCAATTGTTTCAATTTTTTTATTTGTTTGCTGCTAAGTGATTGACATGTATAAGAAAAAAATTGATGCCGCTAGTACCACTCTTAAAATTTTTTGTCCTTTATCTTTGGATGCATGAATCCTTTAATCTGGTCCCTTTTATTTCGATTCCTGTTTTTATCACATTATTTATGTTGAATGGATGTCCATATTTCTCATTCCTTCAATGTTCCCCTTGTTTTGCTACATGAAGACCATCCTGCTGGATTTTGTGCCTTATGTGCCATCCAAAGACATGTAATCCGTGCTCTACAATCAACTGGGAGAATACTGGCACCAAAGGATCTTGTATCAAACTTGCGGTGTATCCTATTGCTGTTTTAGGTTGGGTAACTTTTTTCCGATATTTTGCCAATATGGTCACTTTTTTTTTTTTTTTTGAATTTTTATTACAGATGTTTTGCAACCTTTCTTTAATTGCCACTTTTCACTGTTGAACGTTTTATACTAGGGTCAAGGAAATATATTTTTGTGGGTTTCCATTTGAGGTACTTTCTTCTTCCAATTTTCCGAATTTGAAATCCTTGACCTTTTAACTAGGCATCTCTCGGAGCTTCCGAAATGCCAGACAGGAGGATGCCCACGAATATATGGTAAATTTGTTGGAGTCAATGCACAAATGCTGTTTACCTTCAGGAGTGCCAAGTGAATCACCAAGTGCCTATGACAAAAGTTTGGTCCATAAGATTTTTGGTGGTCGCCTCCGCAGTCAGGTAATTATATAGCTTGCATGTTGTCTCTGCTCCTATCAGATGAAGTTGAGGGAGAGATACATAATTGAGAAATTTTGTAGTTTCTTTGAGAAATGTTATGAAGGGACTTGGAAAAGTTGTCAGGTGGACAGCACTGTCATAATTTTTCAAGTTGTGATGCTTCAATATTACATTTTGTTGATAGTTTTGTTTTCTCCAGGTGAAATGCATGCAGTGTTTCTTCTGCTCAAACAAGTTTGATCCATTCTTAGATTTAAGTCTTGAAATTCTGAAGGCAGAATCCTTGCATAAGGCACTTGCACATTTCACTGCCAAAGAGCAGTTAGATGGAGGTGCGAGGCAGTACCAGTGCCAGCAGTGCAAACAGAAAGTGAAGGCTCTCAAACAGCTTACCATTCGTACGGCACCCAATGTCCTTACCATCCACCTAAAACGGTTTGGTTCACATATAACAGGACAAAAGATCAACAAACGAATCCAGTTTGGCCCCACATTGGACTTAAAGCCTTTTGCCATTGGTCCCTATGTGAGTATTTTTTTTTTATAAAATTTTTGTAGCTGTAATTACATGTTTGATTCTATTGTGCTCTTGTTTACTGTCATAAGCATTAAAATGCAGTCAATTCAGAGAAGCTAAGAGGAATGGATTTAGAACTAAAACTATATACACAACATGGATTGACCCTGAAAATAAATTTGTCAATGCAGGAGTGATAATAAAATGAGAAGCCCTTGGGGGAAATTAGGTATTTTTATCTGTGTTCCTTTGTTGTCTCAGATTTCCTGAATAGTTTTCCCATTGTTTTTCTGGTAGTTGCGTAAGGAGAAACCATTTCAGATCTTTTTTTTTTCTTTGGTTGGACAGAACCAATGAACTTGTTACTTGTAGCCAAATGAAAATTAAAATGTATACTCCTTGCTATGTTCATTGCATGTGGGTAAGCTACGGAATGGTTGTGCACGTGGCATGCATACACAATATTCATGCTGCTGTTGTCTATACATTCATCTTAGATGATAAACCTCTGTTAGGATGAAAATTGAGCCCAATCGATTTGGTATCCTTGTTCTCCTCCTTCATGAGTTTGAACTTTAACTTCTCAAGTAACTTGCGAGATAGAGAAGTGGATGAATTGTCCTTTATTCAAGGAGTTGGATCATTTGCTCTTCGGTTGAGTTCTCTTGCATATCTTTCTTTCATTCCTTAATTGTTAAACCATCTTTTCTATTCTTTGGACCTTCTTTTGTTTGGGAGAGTAAGACATCTTTCGAAGGTGCAAATTTTTGCATGGTTAATTGCACATAAGAAACTAAATACTAATGAGATGCTCTAAAAAAGGCCACCATATTCTCTTCAACCACATTGGTGCATACTTTTTAAAAAAGATTTGAAGTGCATGGATCATTTGTTCCTTCATTGTGCTGGTGTTTTGAACTTGTGGAATAGCCTTTTGGGTGTTGTTGGGATCCCTCGAGTGGTTCCAAGTAGCTGTGATTTGGTGCTCAGTATGAAATTTGATGGTTTTGGTTCATGTCCTAAAGCCAAGCCTTTTTGGAGATGCGTGGTATTGACTTTGTTTTGGGTGGTTTGGTTGGAAAGAAATGAGCGGATTTTTGAGGGAAAGGATGCTTCTTGGAAGATCTATGGATACAAATCTCTTTCATGGGTGTCCAAGTCCAAAGATTTTGAAGGAATTCCTTTATTTTTAATTAAAGATCATTGAGCCCTCTATGGCATTACAATACTAAGGCTGATTCAAGTTCAGTTTTGCGATCTAGGCTATTGTAATTTGCCTAGTAAATCTCCTTTATGTTTGGTATCTCATAAAGGGCAGTGATAACCATTAATGAGATGTTTTTGCCCTCTGCATTTAACATGTAGCAATTTGTTTTCAGCTGCCCTTTTGAGGTTCCCTATGTGCCATTTCTTTTGGTTGTGATGGTTATTGATTTTCTCTCTGTTTTCTAATGTATTCCAGGATGCAGATTTGAAGTACACTCTTTATGGTGTCCTGGTTCATGCGGGTTGGAGCACCCATTCTGGTCACTACTATTGCTTTGTTCGTACATCAAGTGGCATGTGGTACTCCCTTGATGACAATCGGGTATTTAAGAAAACTTCATTCTCCCTATGCGAGTTGATGACTTCATTAGTTGTTGATTTTTTGTTTATGTTGTTTGTTTTCCATCATAAGCAGTATGAATGTTTTGCCAACTAGAAGAACAAAAATATATGCAAATTGAATCTATTTCACTCTCTGTGGTACATGTTTTATGGGTCATTTCATTCTGTGTATGATACCACTTTGGGTTTAGGATAATGTAGCACTCACCTCACTAAATCAGTGAGAAAGTGCTCTGCTAAGTGTCGTGGTCTCAAAATGGAAGTTTCTTGCCTTCAATATTGTGCAGAGGTATTTTATGGCTGCTATGTGTGCATCCTCCAGTTGATAGTCAAAGTGGTCTTGTGCGCTTTCATGCGTGGCCATATCATAAAGTCAGTTGGGCAGCCTGCGGTTACAGTATCAATCGCAGAAGCCCTGGCATTCTGCATCATCAGCGGGGCTGGTGCAGGTTTTTATTTCTTCAGCACAGCTCCCCGAAAACAACTTTGTTTTTGTTGATATGGTTTGGACCCTTCTTTGAGTGTGAGAGTGTGTTGCAATTATCCTCGAAAGTCCCCCTGTACCGTTTCTGAACCACCAGGAGTTCTTCTCAAGGTCTGAACTTTGTATGTGGGATCTAGATCGATGCATTGTTATTTCTTTTTTTTTTTTTTGTTTTTGGATAAGGGTGCATTGTTATTTCACAACCACATGCATCATTGAAGTTATTTTCAGCTATATGGATGCGAAGTGATCTAACCTCAACATTATATTATCGTCTTTTGGTGATTAATGTCTTTGGCCTTAAATTGTGCCACTTGAATTAGTTTCTAAAACGTTACCTAAAAGATTGAGAATTTGATTCTTTTACTTCTCATGTTTACTTGATTTGTAGTGTTTGCTGGGTGTCTATAAGATTCATAATTTTGTGTTCCATGTGTCTTTTATGATGTGAGGTTTAAGTTATTCAATGAGTGAACCTAACATGCTGGTAAACAGGTTGTGCTAGTAAATGAGAGGAAGGTTTTGGAGCAGAAGGCCTACATGTTGTTCTATTGTCGAGATAGAAGAACATCTGCTTCGAAGAAGCCTAGTGATGTTGTTCAGAAACAGAGCATGGCCCTAAATGCTATGGGAAATAAACCATCTTTTAGTTGCAACCATGGATTAAAGGAAACTGTTCAAAATGGTCCAATTGAGTATACATTGAATGGCCTGAACTCTTCTGCAGTTCAGAGAGGTCTATTAAATGCTGGTGCATCAAAGGAGAATGCAAGGAAAGTAAATTCTTCTGAGAAAAACAATGGGCCGACAATGGCTGAGTGCTCAACGCAGTACAGTGACACTTTGTTATAGCCTTTGCCAAAGGTGCCACCACTAAAGGATTCAATGAAGGGCCTTTCTATTCCCAATCTTGATTGGGGAAAAGGTTTGCCACGATTGGCTTCAGCTGTTGAAGGCTTTGATGACAAGTATAAACTAGATAGTGCTATGATCACAACAGCTGGTGCTAAAACAACTGGCTGTTATGTGGAGAGAAATAAGGAGAAAGATTTGAGTGAGTCTGTTGCTGTGCTGGCAAACTGCAATGGCTTCCAGACCTCAATTGCAAACAAAGTTTTGGGTGACTCGGTTACCATACTATCCAACTGCAACAAGGACAAAACTATCACGGAAGATCCAAGGGACAAAACTACCAATGAAGATCTAAGGGACGTGGTTACCATGCCTCCTAATTGCAATCTTCCTCACATATCTCCCATAAATGGGTGTATCACAGACAATGCTTCCTCTTGGAAGGTACTTGGATATTATGTGTTTGGACGAGCTTGTTTCTTACTCTTTCTGCTTGGATTGAAATTGCTTCTTAATTTTCATCTTATATATCATGTCTTCATTTTTATTTGTGTGCAGAATGATAATAAAGCTGTACTATTGGATCCTAATGAAAAAGCATCAGAGAATATTGAATTTGTGAGGTTGTCAAATCAGAAAAGCAGGGAAGATGATGCAGTGAGTACCTCTGTGCTCAAGATACTAAAACTTCAAGTATGATTTCTTTATCAATTCTGAACAATTCCCCCCCCTCTCTCTTCCCGTCCTATTTTTCTTTAGATTAGAAGCTTCTCCAAAGAGAGTGATGGTAGTAATTCACTCCATGATAAGGCTGGTGATATTGGCCTGAGAGTGGTGAGGACTGAATCGCCAGACTTAGCATGCATACCAATCACAGCTCTTGATAGCAAGCCCCGCCAAAAACTGAGAAGGAAGCTCCCAAAGAGTCAGATTACAAGCATGCATCTTGGCTCCACCATACGTTTTGGGACATCCTTAAGCCTGCAAAAAAGGAAAAAACACAAATGCAGCAAACAACAGTCTTCACGGATCAAAAATCTCAGTAAGGAGCGTTTGATGGATGGAGAATGTATCATGACAGATCTTGGACCATCAACTTCGGAGAAAATCAATACCACCCCCCTTGGTGGTTCATCTCAATCTCAACGAAAAGGGGTGAAATCGGGGATGCATAAGAAAAATAAAAGTGTCGTTGCAAAGGATGTTACAAAATCTAATAGTGACCTATGCTCAAGTTTTATTTTTGAACAATGTAAGGAGAGAATTTGTCAGAATGATGCTTTGCTTGGAACTGATGAGCGACCAGAAAACAGTTCCAGTGCTGCTTCTGCAGTAAACCATTCGGATGCTAGAAGACCCTATAGTTCAACAGACGGCGGAAGACAATCGATGCAGGACTTGATGAGTATACTTACTAGAGGTTTAGAGGAGACTATCGGTGAGTAATTTTTTGGAAGCCCCTATTCAGCTCTATCTTATGCAACCTTTTAACTTCTGAAATCTCAATAGTAGCTGAATTTTTCATGCCCTGTTTTTTGCCTATTCTTTTCAGTTGATGTATTGGATCCCAGTGTTGCTTGTCTGTTTCTTTTTTTTCACTTGGCTTTATATGATTGATTGCAGTTGCACGTTGGGATGAAATGAAACTGCCTTCATCTCAGATTCTCGAGCCAAGTGGTGTGGAGAGTGTCAGCATTGGTTCTGTTGCAGATGAATGGTGAGTAGAGGTGCACCACGTTTATTAACTTTTTCCTGTAGTGTAGAGTTCGGTATTATGTTGAAATAATGTCACTGCTGATGATGGTTTGGTGGCCAATCACTGCCAGTAGGATTCAAACCATAAGTTTTTAGAAGAATGTGCACTGCCGGGTTGAAATCATCTAAGTGGTTATGGGTTGGTTCCAGATTACATGAGTTGAGTACCTTCCGGAAAAAAAAAGTGGAGTTGACTGCGTATTCTTCTAAAGTTCAAAAATTAATTGCATATTTGATTTATGTATAATTTTATCACTTTCTATCATTTTGTAAGTTATTTTGAACAATAAAAAACCTTTGCATAGTAAGGTTGCATGCCTGGTGCTTAAAACCATTAAAACAAAATTTGTAATGTTCTGATTCAGAATCAGTATCTATCCCAGAGATAAAAAGGAAAGGAGAGAAAAAGGGGCCAGCATTAACAGTTCCAATCAGCGTTAATTTTGGAATGAATTGTATTTAAAGGAAATATGACTAATATCAGTTATTGATTGAGAATGAGTGATATGTCATTGATTTGTGTGGCCAATATAATCTCTACCTTTTTCCTTAGTAGGTTGTACCTGAAACCAAATTAAAAACCCAGACAAACTGGATTAGGTATGATTGGGTTATTACAAGTTGGGAATTGTCATTGTTGCTTGAAGCATGTGGAGAGCCTAGGCCGTTATCTAAGTTAAATCCTGTTTTGAAATGAATAGATTAGAGGCAATGTAGCTACAATGCAACATTTAGCCTGTGTGTGTGTTTTTATGCGTTTATTTTTTGGCTTTTTGCCTCCCTTCTGCTAATTTTTGTCCCCTAACATGGATCATCGAACCTTAAGTCTTTCACCAAGCTTCTGCCTACGAGGAAGCCCTTGATATTTGAGCTTGATCTCGTTGGTAAGCAGCCTTATGTTGAAGGGCCAGAATAATTTCACCTGACAAGCCTTCCTGCAATATTTTAGGAACTTTCAGTTTCATTATCTAGCAGAGCGGGAGTGGGGGAGTGTAATATGGTAGGCTCGTCTTCTGAATCGCTAGAGTAGGTTACTACTTTTTTGGCCTTAAAAGTTGTGAAAGTTTGTGCAATAGAAATGTCTTATGTGCGATTGAGAACACCTAGGCATATCATGTAGGCTTCCATCCTTATTTATATCAGCTTTATTGGAATATGATGAATCTTTGGTGATTGGTATTGTTGAAATGGGTAATATCCCCCTCCTCTGGGAATATAGGTTTCTTGTCAGAAAGGACAACCTGATCAAACTGAACCCTTCACCACCTTTAAATAAATTATCTCATTTTAACTCGTATTTATATAAGATGTGCAATTTTTCAACTTCAACAGGGATGAAGTATATGACTGTGGAAAGAGGAAAAAGGTTCGAAGCATTAAGCATAACTTTGGTGGGTCAAAATCCATTCCAAGAGATTGCAACTAAGAAAGCAAAACTAGGAAAGGCAAAGATGGATCAATCCAGCTCTGGCAACCAACCATTCAGGATATGAAGGAAGCAGATCTATTCTGGAGAGCAAGCCTAACTTTTTTTTTTTTTGTTCTTAATTGTACTTATGGTATGGCCACCAGAGCTTACATCAATGCTCGATAAACGACCTAGATCCCCATCGTCAGTGTCTTAAATTTGATGTACTGGCCTGAGCGAGATTGTAACTAGGAATGTTCGAGGGAGTAATCCTGAGTTTGAGAAATTTTCTTATTTATTTCCCAAGTTTTGTATTGGAGAGGGATCTTTTAGACATTGTCTTGATGTAGAATTTTTGTATACTGGTTTAAATATGGTGGGTGCTTGAATACCCTGCACGTTCATGAGGACTTATTCCTATGTATGTACTTTGACTAAACGGAGATTTTTTATTAATATACATAATTGCCCCTGTTTAGACTTTTAGAGAATTTGATTAATTTATGCATATTTTAATTAATTTTATCTTTGATTTGGTTAAAAATAGATGATTTGTGTTAGAATTAGAAAATTTACGAGGGCTGACTTAAAAATTTCAACAACCGCTTCCCAGTTAGAACCTGGAATTTGCTCAAACCTGGTGCCGCCCACAGCACCTAAAAACCGAGTGACAAATATACTCCTGGATGGACTCCAAAATAACACCAAAACCACCCTTGAATCTTCTAAACTACGAGGACATTCATGTCATTCAAACACTAGCCGTTTAGTCCTTCGAGTGACCACTGACGGACGGTGAAGACCGAATAAGAATCGCCGAAGAACTCCGATTGTTGAAGCATACCAGAGGTGACTCGTTCTGGTGTGTGGCAATGGCTAAAGGAAGGGCCAATTCTCGGCATCAAGGCAAAAAATCGTCAACCGTCGCTCTAGTTCTCGCGATGCTTCTCATGCTCACAATTGTTCTATTAATACTTCTGGCTCTCGGAATCTTCTCGCTCCCGATTGCCTCCGACGATGATTCTTCTCCGATCCACAATCGCAAGACTTTAGTTATGTATGTGGTTCTTAACATATATGTAATTAATTTATCTATATATAATAGCTGTATCTAATGGCACTTTCCTAAGAAAATAACCTGTGTCTAATGTATTGTTTTGCAGAGGTGATGGTGATCGTGATGGGATGGAGAAGAAGAGAGAGCAGTGGACCGAAGTTCTTTCTTGGGAGCCTAGGGCTTTCATTTACCACAATTTCCTGGTGAGTTTTTTTTTTCAAGATTTTCAAATTACGTTATATTTACAATTCTTTCTTGTAGGACTTATAATTGGAAATATGATTCTTGGCAATTTGAATTTATGTTTTGTAATGAGCTTTCTGAATGTGAATTTTTTTTTAAAGAAAATTTGAATGTGAATTGAGGAGTTCTGAATCATCAGTATTGTGAAGGAGTATGCAGCATAAAAATGTTGTCAGAATCAATAAACATTTTATGACAAATTTGAAGACAAGAAGTTAGGTTTTGTTAAGTCTTAGTTGATAGTTTGAATTTTGGACTTGCCTGCTGGTGAACTTTAACTTGTTTCTGTCTCTATCTTCGTATGAAGTTTCTCTTTCACCACAAAGAACTTGGTTCTGAATATGTGTCACTTTGGCATACAATTGATGGATCTAATGCTCCATTGATTCTGACCTGATTCTGCTAAGCATTCCTTCCTGTTAAGAGTATTAGGGTAGTATATATAAATTGTTAATAGTGTTAGGGTGTTATGTGTAAATACAAGAGGGTGTGTATGTGTAATTCTTATAATTATGAGTTACCTATAAATACAAGTGATGTATGATAGTTAGGTTAAGTTTTTAACCTCTTTCTATTTTTCTCAAAATATTGTCTCTAATATTATTATGTTAATCTTCTAAACTTAACATGATATCAGAGTATTACGATCCTAAATACAAATTTTAATGTGAATTTGTGTTGAGAAAATTACCTTGGTTGGTGGTGTTACTGTTGGGGTGCCACTGTCGAAGTTCAGACATTGTGGTGGTGTGGTGGCTTCTACGGTGGTGTTGTGGCTTCTACGGGTGGTGTGGTATCGGGGCTTTTAGTCGACTGTGGTGGATGTGTGGTAGTCGCAGTGGTGCTGCGGTGGTGTGGTGTGTGACGCCGTCGAAGACCAGGCTTCTGGGAACACGCGTGGTGGTCGCTGTGGTGCTACGGTGGTGTAGTGTGTGACGTCGTCGAAGACCAGGTGGTGTGGTGTGTGACGCCGTTGAAGACCAGGCAGGCCACTGGGAACCCTAATTTTTAACGAAGAAGAAAGAGATCCAACGGGATGGATCAAATCGGGTCAAGCCCATTATTTTTAGTTTAACCCACGATTCAACCCAAGATTCAGTCCAGCTTAGCTCGGTTCAATTTGGTTCAACGGTCCAAAGCACCTATCCGGTCCGATTCAACGGTCCAGAGCCTCTGTCCGGTGCGGTTCAGTGGTCCAGAGCCCCTATCTGGTGCGGTTCAACGGTCCAGAGCCCATATCCAGTCCGGTTCAACGGTCCAGAGCCCATATCCGGTCCGGTTCAATAGTCCAGAGCCCCTATCTTGACCGGTTCAGCGGTCCAGCCTCTCTTTTTCTTTTGGTTCAGCATACAAGGTCCATTTATTATGGAACCCAAGCAAGACACAAGGTTCATTACTCCATCTTTGTCCCCTCCAACTCTTATGAATGGTCCCATGACCTCTGTTAAACTCAATGACACCAATTATACTTTATGGTCCTGATCTGTTCAAGTCTTTCTTTGAGGTAAAGAATTTAAGAAATATTTGGTGAGTTCTAAATCAAAGGAAGATACTCCTGGGTATGATCAGTGGGAGCAAGAGGATGCTCAAATTATTTCTTTACTATTGAATTGCATTGAGCCTAGTATTAGTTCTACTTTACTCTACCTTGACACTGCCAAGGAGATATGGGATCACTTGGTCACTATGTATTCTGGTACAGGTAATTTTACCCGTGCATATGAGGTGTGCAAGAAGTACTTCCGGTTGGAGCAGGGTACTCTGAGCCTTGTAGATTATTACTCTCATGTTCGGGGAGTCTGTGAGGAGATAAAGACCTACCATCCGTTTACTACTGATGCAGCAGTTTGACAGAAGCAATATGAGGACCTGAATGTTGTTAGGTTTTTGGTAGGATTAAAATCTGAATATGAAGCTATTTGTTCTCAGATTTTGGGTGGTTCTAGTCTTCCATCACTGCTTGAGGTTTTCTCTCGTTTACAGTGTGCTACACTGTCTACTCCTTCAGGCATTGATCATAGTGTCTCCACTGATCGGTCAACACTTGTGGTTCCTAGTAGCCATAGTGATGGCCATCGAGGTAGACGTGGTGGTCAAGGAGGTCGTACGAGTGGTCGTAGAGATCGTAGTGGATCCCGTTCCTATTCTCATTGTGGTCGTGGAGGACACACTGTTGACTTCTGTTGGAATTTACATGGAAAATCTTCTGGTGCTGCTAATCAGGCTTCTTATTAATATGATACCTCGACTGTTGCTTCCATACCTCAGTCAGCCCCACCAGACATTGGGTCAGTTACTATTACATTGGGTCGAGAGGAGTATGTTAAGTTCTTGTCCCAGCACCAGGTTGTTCCATCTCCCTCTACTGCTATTTTTGCCCAGTCAGGTACTGCTTCCACTTGTTTATTGTCCTCCACCCGCAGTCCCTGTATCATAGACTCTGGCGCTTCTAACCACATGACTGGTGCGTCTGATGTTTTTTCTACTTATCAGTCTACTACTTCTACACATAGTATTACTCTTGTTAATGACACTTGTTCTAAAATTTCAGGTCTAGGGACTACTCACTTGAGTCCTGATATATCTCAATCATCTGTATTATTTGTTCCTCAGTTTCCTTTTAATTTACTTTTCATTAGTAAGATTACCCGTTCTCTTAATTGTTTTATAACCTTTTACTCTTCTTATTGTGTCTTTCAAGATCTCAAGACGAAGAGGAAGATTGGTACGGGGTATGAATCCGGTGGCCTATATTACTTTGATTTTGATTCACCTATTCGGGCTCTACAAATCTCGTTGTCTCCTATTCAATGGCATTGTCGTTTTGGACATCCTTCTCTCTAGAATCTGAAGTGCCAAGTTCCCAGTCTTAGTTGTGTGTCGTCTTTACCTTGTGAAGCTTGTCAACTTAGTAAGCATCGCCGTGTGTCATTTCGGTCTAGAGTCAATAATTGTGTGTCTAGTCCATTTGAGTTAGTACATTCTGATGTATGCGGTTCAATAAAGAATATTTCATCTAATAAATATCCTTATTTTGTGACTTTTGTGGATGACTATTCTTGTGTGACTTGGTTGTTTTTGATGAAAGTTCGATCTGAATTATTCTTTATATTTGAAACCTTTCGTAAGGAAATAAAAACTCAGTATGGATGTCGTATACATATTTTACGTTCTGATAATGTTCAAGAATATGAATCTGATCATTTTTCAGCTTATCTTAGTAAAATTGGCATTATTCATCAGACTTCCTGTGCTTACACATCTCCACAGAACGGTGTTGCTGAACGCAAGAACTGTCATTTGTTGGAAGTCACTCGTGCTCTGTTATTTTAGATGATTATTCCTCGATATTTTTGGAGTGATGTTGTTCTTACTGCTTGTCACCTTATTAATCGTATGCCATCTTCTGTGTTAAATGGATAAAGTTCATATTATGTCATTTTTCTTGATAAACCTTTATTTTCCTACCTCCTAAGATTTTTGGATGTGTCTGTTATGTTCATAATTTGGGTCCTAGATTTGATAAGCTTGATCCTTGCGCTATCAAATGTGTATTTCTTGGTTATTCCCGCACACAGAAGGGGTATTGTTGTTACAGTCCTGCTTTGCGACGATACTTTACTAGTGCCGATGTTACATTTGAGGAATCTGTTCCATATTTTTCAACACCTTCTCAACCTTTGGATCTGGACTTTGGGTCACCTCTTGTACCACCATCATCCTCAGATATTCTGCTGCCCACTGTATTACTGTAAACTTTACCTCTTCGTGTATACTCTCGTCGTCCTCGACCATCGACTGAGGTGTCCGTACCGTCTTCCTTGCCGCCTTCTGATCCTGGTTCATCAGGTAATTTAGACTCTTTACCTATTGCTCTTCGAAAAGGTACACGTTCGTGTGTTACTAATCATCCTATTGCTCGTTTTGTTTCATATGATGCCTTATCTCATGTCTTCTCTTGTTTTACCTCTCAATTATCTACTATATCTATCCCTAAGCATTTACAAGATGCATTATCTGATCTTGGTTAGAGGAAAGCTATGGAGGATGAGATGGATGCCTTACATCGTAATGGGACTTGGGATCTTGTTTCTTTACCCCTTGGTAAACGAACTGTTGGTTGTCGTTGGGTGTATACTGTTAAATTTCATCTGGATGGTTTTGTGGAGTGTCTCAAAGTCCGGCTTGTTGCAAAGGGTTTTATTCAGACCTATGGTATTGATTATGAGGAGACTTTTTCTCCTGTTGCCAAAATATTCTCTGTTCGTATCTTGATTTCTTTGGCTGCTAATCTTGATTGGCCCTTGTTTTAGTTAGACGTCAAGAATGTCTTCCTACATGGTGACTTGGTTGAAGAGGTTTACATGGAGCAGCCACCTGAATTTACTGCTCATGGGGAGTATGATAAGAGTGTATGTCGGTTAAAAAATCTTTGTATGGTTTGAAGCAGTCACCCAGGACATGGTTTGGTAAGTTTTCAGATGCTGTTTTAGAGTTTGGTCTTCTTCGATGTCAGACAGACCATTCTATGTTCCATAGACAGACGGATGCTGGATTTGTTCTATTGGTGATTTATGTAGATGATATTGTGATTACTGGAAATGATTCTGATGGGATTGTCAAGTTAAAAATCTTCTTGCGGGATTAATTTCATACTAAGGATTTGGAAAAACTCAGATATTTCTTGGGAATTGGAATAGTTCAATCTAAATAGGGTATTTGTTTATCACAGAGGAAATATATACTTGATATGCTAGAGGAAACAGGTTTGTTGGGAGGCAGACCGATTAATGTGCCTATGGATCCGAATCAGAAACTATTGATGGATAATGGTGCACTGTTTGAGAATTTGGGTCGGTATCGTAGATTGGTTGGGAACCTTAATTATCTTACTATTACTCGACCGGATATTTCCTATGCAATCAGTATAGTAAGTCAGTTTATAGGGTGTCCTAGAGTATCTCATTGGGAGGCAGTCACTCGTATTCTACGGTATCGTAAACGAGCCCCTGAACTTGGACTGTTATATCGAGCTAATGGACATCTTAGAGTAGAAGGTTTCTCAGATGCTGATTGGGTTGACTCTCCTTCTGATTGGAGATCAACCACTGGTTATTGTAGTTTCTTAGGAGGTAACGTTATCTTATGGAAAAGTAAGAAACAATCTGTGGTAGCAAGATCCAGTACTGAGGCTGAATATAGGGCAATAGCGCATACGACGAGTGAGTTGACGTGACTGCTACACTTTCTTCAGGAAATTGGGTTTTCAGTTCAACCTCTTTTACAGTTGTTCTGTGACAACCAGACGGCTATCTATATCGCTGCCAATCCGGTGTTTCACGAGAGAACCAAACATAATGAGATTGATTGTCACTTTATTCGGGACAAGATAGTAGGTGGGGAGATTACGACTCCATTTGTAAAATCTGAAGATCAGCTTGCAGATATGTTCACCAAAGCATTGAGTCGTACACGTCTTACAGAGATTTGTTCTAAGCTTGAATTATATGATATATATAGTTCAGCTTGAGGGGAAGTGTTAAGAGTATTGGGGTAGTATATATAAATTGTTAGTAGTGTTAGGGTGTTATGTGTAAATACAAGAGGGTGTGTATGTGTAATTATTATGATTATGAGTTACCTATCAATACAAGTGATGTATGAGAGCTAGGTTAAGTTTTTAACCTCTCTCTGTTTCTCCCAAAATATTGTCTCTAATATTATTATGTTAATCTTCCAAACTTAACACTTCCAATGTCTCTCAAAGAAAAATGCATGCCTACATTTTCAACATTTTGGAACCTCATTTTCCACTTGCAAACAAAGCAATCCAGTATGTATGGATTTTATGAATGTTTCTTGCGTGTTCTTATTAATCGCTCTCTAGTTGGGCATTAAGCGTGATTAGTCATCTGGTCATATGTTGAATCAGTGAACTCTTTTCTCAACTATTGACTCTGGGGTCACTGATTTTTACAGTCTGAGAAAGAATGTGAATACTTGATAAATCTTGCCAAACCTCACATGGCGAAGTCAACAGTGGTTGATAGCAAAACCGGACAGAGCAAAGATAGCAGGTTTGTGCTACTGCTGTCCTCCCACCTCCGCTCTTATTTTCATAGTAAATCTAAGACCAAAGAGGCAGGATTTATTCTGCAGTAATTCTTCTTCTTCTTTTTATTTTTATTTTTATTTATTACAGTTGTTATTTAATGTAACAGATAATTTAAACTGGCAAATGGCTCATTCTTCCAGGGTTCGTACTAGTTCTGGAATGTTTTTGAGGAGAGGACGGGATAAAGTCATCCAAGAAATAGAAAAAAGGATAGCAGACTATACGTTTATTTCTGCAGGCATGAGATTCAAAGAATTTCTATATAGAGTTTTGCACAAGTTATTAGCTTGAATTATTATTATTATTTTTTTCTGTTATTCTCGAATTTGATAAGCATGTACGTATATGTTTAAAAGCCTTAGATATTATTTCCTTGAAGGTTACTAAATGCATTTTAGATGACATGCACAGTGAAGCTTTGACAAAATAAATTGAATTTTTGAATTTGGGTTTGGTTTATCAACTTCTATGTATTCAAGAAGTTGATTTCTTTTGGTCTCCAGTCCACTGTGTGAATGTCTATAATACCCTAGTCTCACTTTCAATGGTCATCGTTTTTCCTCTCTCAACCACCCTAGTATTTTATCCCTTGATCTCCCAGTAATTCCAATGTCAACTTCCCACTTAATTTCTTGACAACCCATCTTAACGGTCTATTGCTTCCACTTTCCCTCTCATCTCTGCTGCTTAAAAGAATAGATGTAACATATTAGTTCAACAAAAACTTAAAACTTTTTAAAACTGTAGTATTATTAACAAATGTGAAACAAGGATTCTAGTGCTCATGAAGCATGGCCAATGAGTCTATGACTCTGAATGCTTGTTGATGAAAACAATGATAATGCTGGCGGCGTGTTAAATATCGTCATGAAATTGCTGGGCTAACTTACTGATGGAGGGTGCCAAGATCAACGTGCTTAGTTCATTGATGTTGCTTTAAACAATATTTGACTATCAATAAAAAATGGTGAATATATTTAAAACGTTTGTTAGATGTATGTTCACCACTTTACTCGATTTTTTTGAAAATAGCTACATTGCTACCTGAGCAAAATGCCATTGTGTACTAGCGCATGTTAGAAATGTAAGCTCTTGAGCTGTCTTGTAATGAAACCATCCAACCTTCTTCTTGGATACTCAATCTCTGTCTTTCATATGTGATCTTGGAGAATTATCAGATTGGGACTCACGTGGTCAAATATTTTTGTGGTACAGTCTATTCAGACAAGTTAATGAGGTTTCAATACTCTCTTGAAAGTTATAAGCACCTGTCAGTTCTGTTTCTATGCAACTTAGTTCTTCAGGTTTCTTCCGCTACTTCTATTGGATTGTCTTAGTCATATTCAAGGGCATCATGTTGCCTTTATGTTTCTCTTGGTTCATATGATTTTTTTGAATGAACAATGTCCAAAGTAACACAAAACAAAATAGGCTATGATTGACATCAACTTGATTTTGTTGAGGGTTTGTTTAGGATAAAGTTATTCTCATGATTTATCCCAATTTATGTAGGTTTTATCATTCATCTTATTTTGTTGGGTGTCATTACGTCATGGTCTCAGAGAGTAGTTTTTTTAAATTGGAACCAATTGTTTCAGGAAACCAATGTAAGAATTTAGGTTTGCAGTTCTAGTTGATTTTTTATAAATTTTTTGGGGGAATAATTTGCATTTGCACTAAAGGTTTCCTTTTTCTTTGTTATTTGCTTCTGTTTTTTCTGATTTTTTTGTGTGTATATCTCTGTTCATATTTTATTACCTGGTTCAGAAATTAGTCTGATCAAGCAAATTTCACAATTTACAGAGCATGGGGAAGGTCTACAAGTTCTCCATTATGAAGTTGGACAAAAGTATGAGCCTCACTATGACTACTTTCTTGATGAGTTCAACACTAAAAATGGGGGCCAACGCATAGCTACTGTTCTCATGTATCTGTAAGAGTTAAACTTCATCTGCCCATTTAGTAAACGCTGTTTTACATAGGATGAAAACTATGGACTAAGTTTCATCTTAAATAGGATCACTTTTGATCCTTTTTTCTACCTTTCACTTTGTTTTGTTTCTGATGCAGATCAGATGTTGAAGAAGGGGGTGAGACAGTTTTTCCTGCTGCTCAGGGAAATTATAGCTCTGTGCCGGGGTGGAATGAATTTTCAGAATGTGCTAAAAGGGGCCTTTCTGTTAAACCAAAAATGGGTGATGCGTTGCTTTTCTGGAGCATGAGGCCTGATGCCACACTAGATCCGTCAAGCTTGCATGGTAAGTATGTCCTTTTATTCTCCAACCCCCTTCCCCTTTCTCGTTAAAAGGCTAAAACTGAAGCACAATGATAACTTCGCAGTTTGCATTATAATTTAGAAGAACACAAATTGGTCATATCTCAAGTTTGTCTTACTCTGAATTAGAAGCTACATTTTCTCTCTCACTAGTAGGCTTCTGAATGTACCAGGTGGTTGCCCTGTGATTAAAGGGAACAAGTGGTCGTCTACTAAGTGGATGCATGTTGGTGAATACAAGGCCTAAGCCATTTTTTGAAGGTAGGAGTGAAAATATTTTGTAGTAGTTATAATAAGTCATGTTGTCAATCCTAGTAACCTTGCAAGAAAATAGATATGTTGGATTTTTGGCTGATTCACATCACTTTGGGTTATGTGCCTGGATGTGTACAATATTAGACATAGGAGCACTATTGTTTGTTAACTGTACAGTCACCACCTTGTCATTTTTGTCCTGTGAGGCCGTTGAATTTAACTTTTGTTGTTATGATGTCAACTATGTGTTTTGGCCGATAGGCAACTTCTTGTTTCATCTCTTCATACCACACAGAAAGAAAAGGACTATCTTCTCATATGTTTATTCTTAAAGACAAGATTGATCCTTTTCCCTTGGTCCCTTCAACTCCCACTCTAATACCCTTAATGCTGATAAAAGATATTATAGATGCAAGGACATCGAAGTTGTCTTTTTTCACTTATAAATTCTAATTCCTTTTATTGGTAGTCATCTTATTCTAGGCATTCATATATAAGGGGTGTTGTATTAGAGTTGTACGCAACAGCTTGCATAGGCTGAGCAGGTAGTGCCTCTGCTTCTGGAGATAATAGAGAATGATATAGAAGGAAAACTGGAAGATACTAATGTAGGATATCTTCGGGGGTGCTTGGGAGGATTGCTACTGGTAAGTGAGGAGTAGAAAATACTTCTATGACTTGCATTATGTGGTCATGATATTAGGTAGTCTGATGGGGTTCACATATTTCATTCTCTGTAGAATGTATTGATATGGGCTAGCAGTTCCTATAATCGTATAAGATCTGGTAAATGAATTTTTGTGTGACTTAATATTAGGTGAAGTCACTAAATCTCCTCAGTTCTTCCTTTTCCGCCAGACAAATATAACAATTCCTTGCCTTATGAATCTCTCTGGCATATTATGAACTCTGGAGCTCTATCAGGGGTGAAATTGCCGATTGATGTTCCTTATCTTTGTTGTTTCTTGTAGTTTATGAGCTAGCATCCATGTTTCCCCACCTCGTCATTAGATCAAGTTTTACTTTCCCTTGTTTGGCAAAGATCTACTTGAAACTGCCTCACAAAAATTCTTCTCTCTTCCATGTCTACTGCAAAGTGCAAAGTTACAGCATTTTCAATGTGGAATTACCACATTTTTACGAAGTACAAACAGTGAAAACAGCATTTCAATGTGGAATTATGGCATATTTACAAAGTGCAAACAACATTTTTAATGCAAAATTATGACATGTTTATTTTGCTAATATACTCTCTCAATCTATTATATTTGTTGGAACTTGTCAGATAAAAAATATTATATTTGTTGGTCTTACATCTGCTCTATGCTATTGGCAGGAATTGTAATCCTTTGTATTGTGCAGATAGTTGTTGATTTGTTGGGAATGATGATTACTCACAGCACAGGTGTAGTTCCTCAATCTACCGTGTAACCATCCACAGCTGAGATTATCTGGTGCTTTAAATTTTGATCGGCTTTTGTATCTCTCTAACGAGCACTTTGGAGGGGGATAGTTGATCCTCTAATTTTGAGAATAAAACTAGTTTTCTGTGGCCCAGATAGAACATGTTCTTCATTTGAGTGATCTATATTTTACTAGACTAGGAGATGGAGTTTATTTGATGAATGGACAGGTGTATTTGATAGTAAAATACAGTTTGTCGGCCATAGCATAAGAGTACATGTAATCTCTTTTCGTAGTTTATGAAATCATTGTTATCAGATCTTTCTTTTTGCTATCTCATGCATTTTCTTTTTGCTAGAAACTAGTTCGTTTTATTATTGTGGTATTCATTTTCTTCTAGAGCTATTGGGAGCCAGAGGGCTGTGTATTTCACAACTCGCACAGCACTGGGAAAAGATTTTCTAGGGCAATTCTGACATTTCAGCAGGATCTCTCGACTAAATGAGTTACAGTTGGTACTTTTAGGCCCTCTATCTGTTTTTCCTGCCTGCGGGACTTTAGGTGAGTGTCAGGATTCATCTCTTCTCCTGTACGTTTTTCATTAATTTCGTTACTCTTTATTAAATTCCGGGAATGGCTCTCGGGGAGACACCCCTCGCCTTTATCCATGTCCATGTCTTGCAAATTCCCTTGTGTAAAATCTATTAACCGAAGTTGGATAAATCATATTGACCATCCGTTTGAAGATAATTTATGAACAGTAACATTAACACAATTTTCAATGCTAGTGAGATCTACTAATCTGATGGTGTGCATACGAGAGTTAAAAGAAAGTCCGTCAAAAAGGGGTTCATAACCTCCCCTCTTCAAGTTTTAACACTAGGTTACTAGTTTGAATTACCATTATATTAAACGTATGATCTTACTTTAACATTTAATAACATGGGATGAAATCCCATTCAATATTCACACGACATTACAATAATCACAAGGGAGACCCAATCCACAAACATGTTTCCTGATGATACTCATTCAATCTAATTAGCAATATTATAGCCCAGGCTGCCAAGCCTGGATTACCTATCAACAGTTGGCCCAGGGTTCACGGCCCTGACGCACTTTGGGTGCACCTCATAACCACATTCAATGCACTGGTATGCCCACCCAGACCCTTGTTCATCACAGTCGCAACATATAAAGGGTCCTCCGCCAGTGCCTTCCGACACCAGTGTCAGCTCATGACGATGTCCTTCATGGTACTCGTTTCTCGGAAGCTTTTTAGCCTCCTCATCCATTTGCTTCTCAAGCAACTCTACTCTGGCCTCCGTGAAAGGGTATGCATTTTGTTGATACAAGTTTATAAGGTTCCTCCCTTGTTTGGTGACGGTTTTACCATCTGGACCCAAAATTACTAAGCTGGGGATTCCTCGGATATCAAAATGTTTGGCGAGGTTCTTGATTGCCGGGTCTCCGAATGGCAATGACAGCCAGGGCATAGTACTGAAGTACGAGTCAAATGATATTTGGTCACGGTCACTCGACACGAAGACTATTTCAAAGTCCTCCCCACCCTTTCCTACCAGCATCTGTTTTATTTTCTGGTAGATGGAGATCAACTTGGGAGTGAACTTTACACATGGAAGGCACCATTGGGCCGAGAAATAGAGTCCAACTGTTTTGCTAATCAAGGAATTAATAGGCACCTGCAAATGACAGATACATGAACAATCCCCTTTGCATTATTACAACATGAACCATCCAATAACCAATTTGTTCAATCAACACAACATGCCACTCATGTTGGGATTAGATTTTGAGCTAAGCATGTGCAAATACCATCATCAGTATGGTGTTATCGAGATTTGAATGTAAGATTTTCAGTATCAACTCTACATCAAACTGCCAACTATTCTAAAAGTTTTAGCTCTCTTAGATGATGTAACGTTAGTATTAATATATTCCAAGGTGTCTTTCGTCATTTAAATTCTTCATAATGCAGTTTAACGTATGTATGTGATTTTTCATTGTAGTTTAGGTACCAAAAGCTAATTAATCTCAAAGCAGATCCTAGTCAGTTTTAGTATCATATAGGGGTGGACTGGCTTACCTGTTTAGCCATGGGCTGACCCAAGAGGAAGTCTCTATCCTGGTTTGTTAGTAAATTTGTCAAGGTTTGTTTTTCATGCTTCTCTCTCTCTTTCTGCTCCAACTCCGCCAACCTCTCCTTGGTGAATGGAAAAGCTTCAACCCCGTATCTGTAAACTAGTTCAACTCCATCGTGTAATATCGCATCATCATCCTTGTTGTTATTGGAAGGTTGAAGAATTGTTAAGCAAGGAATACCTTCGACATCAAATCTTTGATTTAAAGATCTCTTCGTCTCCAAATCAGAAAATGGAATTGCAAGCCATGGCATGGATGCATGATATTTGTTGAAGGCATCCAAGTCTTCATCAGATGACACAAAGATAATCTCAAAGCCAGATCCAATATTATTGCTTTTAAGTTGCTCATAAGTATCAACTAAAACTGGAGTGAAGTTTTGACATGGTGGATACCAGTTTGCTGAAAAGTAGATGCCAATAACTTTGCCTTCAAGATCAGAAACTTTCACCTGTAGTACTGATGAAAATCAGTTCATTATGAAAGTCATAAGCGCAATAAATTGTGACCATTAGATTAGTAATGGAAACTAGTAAACGTACTATCAATCCAATTCAATGGTGACAATGCATTGGATCCCGAGTACAAGTTGTTATATTATTGTTGATGATCATGTGTGGTTTACTTGCAAATGATGAATGTAATTTACTCAAATGACAATGAGTCCTAGTAGAGGAAGACCATTGAAAAAGTGTGAGGCAGCGACATTAGCATTACGCATACACACACACACACACACATATATATATAGCATTAACATAGGTTTAAATTGCAAAAGAACATAATCAGAGAATCCATCTGTTAAGTGCACTACAAATGTTCCACAAACTCTCTCTCTCTCTCTCTCTGTCGGCAAGAAATTTTTGTTTTTTTGTTTTTGTTTTTGTTTTTGGTACATAAAGAAGTGTTTTACATATGTGTGTGTGTGTATATATATATGTGATTTTGGTTCGGTGGTCCACATGCAGCGACAAGGTTGGACCAGGAAAATGTAGAAGGAATAGATACAGATCTGCCATGTGTAACTTGTGACAACTAATCTAAGTATGCGAGTACTCACGGCACATAATCTCTCTCCTCATCACCCAGCTATTCAACCCCCAACACCATGGTAAGTGTAAGTTTAAATCAGCAAATATATTAGCAAACGTTGAGATCGATGGTTTATTTTATCAGATCAGATCAGATCAGATCAGATCGTGTAAGAAATTAATCAGAAATAATAGAAGGATAATTTATGTAGTTGCCACCTTAACACACATTGAGATTATCATCGCATGTTATATATCCACTGACTATAATAACATTAATTGTCTCAGATCTCAGACTTATGTTGCCAACTAAATCTCCATAAAAAAAAAAACACAGCAGACCGACCGCTACAAAGTACCAATCCTGTTGTCGATCGGGAGTAAATATGGGAAATAGTTGGGGGAATTTTTCTGCAAAAAATATATATTTCTACTGATCTTTTTCATTTTTCAGGTTCTTTTTCCCATCAATCTTATATTATTTGCTTACGAAAAAACAAAATAGAAATAAAGAAAGAGTAGAAACGGAAACCTATACCTATCTTGCTTCTATATATATGTCTTCTTCAACAATAATAGTTTCAGACTTTCAGTTAATTAAGACGCTGCTACGCCTTTACTTAACTTGCCCCAAAAGTCAGAGTGCTCCCAGTCTGAGACTTGTATCGAAAATTTACTCTGTGTGTGTGTGTGTGTGTGAGAGAGAGAGATAGGACCTGAGTTCCAGTAGGAGTGAGCAGAAAATCACGACCATTGGAGACCAAGGGAGACAAATATCTAGAGTAAGAGACCGCCTGATCAGCTTCTTCATCGTTCAGTACCTTAAACTCATCTCCATTGTTATTGCCGTTCCTCATCGCACCTCTTCCTTCTCTCTCTCTCTCTCTCTCTCTCTCTCAACCATCAACTATGTTGCTCACAAAATTCTTATTCACATCAATGCATACTTTCCATCCCCGTCGGCCATAATTACACATAACACGTAGCAGCACTCAGCCTTTCACTCCATCTCCATCAACTTTTACACCCTACTTCTGCACAACATGAAGGCTGATGCTACATCATGCGTTTCAACAAAATTATTGTAGATTTCGACATCATATTGTGCCACGTGTGCAGTGATTTGGATAGTAACATTGAAACTAATTATTTCCCAAACCAACTACAGGTTCTTCGGGTCGAGTAAATGCAACCGTAATATCATATTAATATTATACTATGATATTATTTATTAATAATAAAATATTAAATAAGTAAAGTAAATTTTATTTAGATAGTTATTGAACCCTGTGAGTAGATATTGTAAATTTTATTTGCATAGAATTTATTTTTATTTTATTATATATTGTTAATTAATAATATGATGTGATAATTTTGGTGTATACCACTGAATATTTTCTCGCATAGAACACTTTTAAAAGCCAGCTGTTAGGAGGACACCTGCCCCTCCCCACGTGTTTACTTTTTGACCTTTGTATTGTTATTATTATTTGGGCCAGTTGTCCCGGAAGATATCGTATCCAGCTTTAACTGCGCAGTACTAATAACTCTAAACAATTGCGGTAGAGAAACCAACATATCGAACGTCAACACTATTTTCAGACTTAGCTTACGGCATTAAATTATTTTATCTTATAAAGGTTCGATTACAGTATTAAAAAAATTATTATACTATTTATCAATTTTTTTGATTTATTTTATATTATCTTTTCGGTACCTTCATTTTTTTTGTTTTTTATATATGGACCTTATTTGAAGACTTAATCTGAGAACTTATGACTTATTTGAATGAATTTTTGGGAAATATTTAGATTAACTTCCCCAAATCCTTTTAAACTCAAATCCCTTTTTACAAAAATGAGATTAATACTTATATTTAATATGTACACGGATATATCATTATTATGACAATATGTTTGTATTTAAATGACTATTTTATCCCTTCATCAATCTAATCTAAACTCATGTTTGTTTACATATGATGTACAATTGTCTTTTGTATCTTGAACCCATTAACCCTCATCTGAAACCCACCTCTCCTCGAGTTTGATGAAACTCATGATCTAAAGTTTAAAGTTCGGGCCAATAAAGGCCAGGCTTGTTAACCCATGTTTCAAAATTTTAGACAAATATGAATTTTGTATGTTATTTGGTCTACTTTCCCCAACCCATCTTTCAAAGCCTTCCCAATCTCACTTACCAAACAATCTCCTAATTAAGCTCGTCAAAATCTAACACGATACGATTAACCGACACGAATTGATACAGATTAAGTGGGTTTTGGAGAGACCTTAACGGGTTCGGGTGATAAACGAGTTAACCCGTTTAACACGTTTATTAAACGGGTCATCTTTGAGTGAGACATGTCAACCTGTTTATAACTCATTTACCCTTTTAAATAAAATTAATATAATAATAAATTAATAATTCTTTTAAAAAAAATTTAGCCAAATTTTTTTTTATTTTTTAGTGACAACCACACAGAAAATATATAAGGGTTAATTACAAGTTGTACCCTGAAAAGATAGTTGAAATCTCAAATTGTACCCCCAAAGATAAAAAATTTTAATTTGTACCATCAAAGATAGAAATTTGTATCAATGTGCACTTAAAACTAAATTGATAAATTATATCTTGCCCCCCTTATGCTTATCACTTAATCATTTGGATCCCTTCACATTTAGAATATTACTTCTACATCTCATGACGTTTGTGCACGCGTAACATGTAACCCCCTTCATTGATATCTGTTAATATAACCTTTAAAATATGATTTTATCCTAATAAAAAATTATAATGTCCAATAGTAAGTTTGATTTTAAACTTTCGAGTATATCGAACCCACAAAATAAAAGGTAATATGAAATTATAATTTTTTAGTAGGATAAAATCATATTTTTTAACGATTATATTAACAGATATCAATGTCATATTTTTTAACAATTATATTAACAGATATCAATGAAAAGGAATTACGTGTTATGTGTGTACAAACGTCATGAGATTTAAGAGTAATATTCTAAATGTGAAGGGGTTCAAATAATTAAGTGACAAGCATGAGGAGATTTAGGTATAATTTATTAATTTAGTTTTAGGTGCACATTGATACAAATTTCTATCTTTGAGGGTGCAAATTGAGATTTTTATCTTTGGGGGTGCACATTGATACAAAATTCTATCTTTGAGGGTGTAAATTAAAATTTTTGATCTTTGGGGGTGTAATTTGAGATTCCAACTATCTTTCAGGGTATAACTTGCAATTAACCCAATATGTATCTTTTCCTAATTTCAATGTCCAAACCCTAATTCTTTTTTTTCTACGTCGAAGCATTCAGCGGCGTCTTCAACTCTTCTGCTCCTCTCTCTCTCTCTCTCGACAACAACTCAGTAAGTAGTTGGTGTCTTGGAGACTTCAAGCAACTCAGGCTGACCACGAAGACTTTGAGCAACTCAAGTAAAGGATTTTTTTTTCTTTTTCTTTTTTTGAATTATTATGTGGGTGTGTATCTAGGCATGTATCGATCTGTGTGTGTGTGTGTGTGTGTTTGGGGGGGGGGTCCGGTGTTGGGTGTTCTGGCTTGTTGAGAAAATCCAAGGGAAGATCAGGGGTGGGTTTGTATTTCTGGTGTTGGGTGGTCTGGGTTGCTAATAAAATCCAGAGAAGATGAAGGGATTGAAAGATTTAATCTTTGTGTTCTATTGATTGTCTGTTTTCAATTCTATGAATAATATCTTTTATTGTGAATACGATTTATCCATGTTTGTTATTGCTTTAATGGTGTTTTACCTGTGTTGCTTTTAATTTCTTTAGAAGATGATATGAAGTTATTTTGTAAGGTCTTAATTTTTCTTCCTTTTATTTGCCTCAATAATAGTTGATGCATTGTTCATATGCCCTTCTGCCATAATCTGGTGAATCATATGTCTACTTCTTCCTATTCTCTACGAAGATCATAATGTTTGTTGAACAACCCATAAGTAATTTATAGATATATGTGCTGAATTAGAATTATTATTTTAAAAAGTAATAAAACTGAGGTTGGTTTTTAACTCTATTTTTTTGCTTTAAACAGGTGGATTCTTCTTAACACAATATTATAGTTTCTGATGAAGAAGATGAGGTTCGACATGATTTGTAATATGGTTGTCGGTGAAATTTGATTATTTTGGATTGTACTTTGTACTTTATAATATAGTGTACTATTTCTACATATCACATTTTTTTGTGTTAATTTATTAGTTTTGTAAAGTTATATAGCATTTTTAAATAAACAGTTAAATGAGTTAAAGAGGTCAAATGGGTGGTTTACCGTGTTCAATCCGACCCAATCCAACACGACTCGTGTCATATTACCCGTTTGTTAAACTGTTTGTGTTTGTTTTTAGATTTTTTACTTGTTTATTAAATGGGTCGCATACAGGTTTATATGTTTTTCATCCGTCACCTGTTTAACATGACACGTTTGACATCCCTACCCCTAATGATGTGACTTCAATATAACAATTAGATTAATTGTGAGTTTCAATTTTAGATGAAGCTCATAACCAAATCAATGGTTATACATCAATAGGTTCCTATATTAGGTCTTCAAATTAGATCTGAATAACATTTTTCTTCATTTATCATTTGTTAGATAGATTTTATCACTTTTTAAAATATTTTTTAGTTTTCATTATAATACTAAAATTTTACTTTTTATTACAATAACGTTTTCAATATTATAATCATATTTTTCAAGTTTGTCTTCTACTCATGTCGTAGCATTTAAATAGGTATATGCATGGTAAATTTAAGTTATTCACTTTAGACATTAACAAAACTGATTTATAATTAATATTGATAAATTATATTAATTTTAATATATATATATATATATATATATATATATATATATATAATACAATACAATTCAAATTTCAAAAGATAAACAAAATAATTTTTGTTTTTTGCGATTGAAATCTCTTCAATTTTATTTTAAAATTAATTCGACGACTAATATTAACACCATAAATTTAATAGAGAAAATAGACTCTTAAGGATGTATTTGAGGGTAATTTTTTAAAAGTATTTATAGAACTTATAACTTCTTATAAGTACTTTAAAAAATAATTAATATTTTAAATTGCTCCACCACCACCCCTACAATCGTCACCCCCATCGTCTCACCACTATCACCATCACCCCATCATCGCGCTAAGGCCACTACGCCACCACTTTTGCCACAATCACCACCACCACTGTCGCTATCTCAGCACCATCATTATACTTACTGCCCCATCACCACCATCACCATCCTCATCATCACCGCTACCTTCACCTTACCACCACTATCATCATCACCATCGCTACTGTCGCCTTACCACTACTCCCACCATCACCACCACTATCACTCTACCACCCTTTCTTTCATAACAACCAACATCATTGTCCCACTACCCCTACTGCCCCATAACCATTGCCATTAACAGTTGCTACCATCATAATTGGTTATCTTCACTCATCATAATCGATGATGCACAAAATGATTTTGCACACCACCTATCAAGTGTGAATAATAAATGCAAGAGTAAAGTAAGGAGATAGAGAGACACAAGCAATTTATAGTGGTTCGGTTAACTCGACATATGTCCACTCTTGAATGACTAAGGAGATGGAGAGACACAAACAATTTATAGTGGTTCGGTTAACTCGACCTATGTCCACTCTTGAATGACTCTAGTTGCCGGGTACTTTATTAACTCAAGGGGGTGAAGAATAGAGAATACAAGCTTTGAGGGAGAGGAGAGAGTCGTGCTTAGGTTAAGTGTGATCTGCCCCCCAAGTGTTGGTAGGAATTACAATTTATAGTCGCCCACCTAACATATTTGGGCAAGATATTAGTAAGTAGTCAGCTAGTT